AATTGTTACTATAACGTTGTTTATATTCCATTACCGATTCGAACAAACGGGATTCTCTTATTGTAAGGGGTTTAACTCGAATCCTGATTTAATTAATTAATTTTTGGAACGTTAACAGCTTCGGTATAATCACATTTACATTGTTTCGTTGTTCACGTAATTATATATGTTTAACTTTTAATAAGTTTTGTTAAATTCGTACTCGGTATACAGAACACTCTTACATTTATTATTAAACAATTAGAGTTTGGAGATGCATAAAAATAAATATGGGTCAGATTTTTATTTTCGCGTCGAGAAAGAAACTCTCATCGACCTATAACACAGCCAATTTAACCCGCTCAGTCCGATGGAATTTATTTCACTAAATTGCCAATTCCCTTACAACAGGGATACGTAGATTTGAAAGGATTTACTTATTTGACAGCAATTTTCGCTATCGACCACGATTCTGTCAGAACTTGGAATCCACAGAGGGCATTCGAGCCGGAGAGCTGACCAGCCGTCTTTTGACTTGGAGAAATCGAAGCCATCGACCAACAACTCTGCAGGTGAGCTGCTTCAATATTTCCTTTTGATCAGGACGAATTCGCACGGAAAACAGCTTAACCGAACCGATATTTTATCTGTGTGACCAGAATCGCTTTAAAATATCGAATGATCGTATTCCCTTAAGCTATATTGTTCAGTTGCGTCATGCGCAGCCAATTAATGCTTGTTCGGTCAAATAAAAACAATTAAAATATTAAGCGCGTTTATGTGCGTTTAATTAACATTTACGAAATTGAATTTTGGTGAAAATTGTTTGTATGACATGTGCGTCATGGGATTGTAACTAGTGTTACTCCCTGATAGGGGTGGTAGGGTCATTCTGAATTATCACAATTACTGTTTTAATAGTAATAAGTATACAGGGTGTCAAACAACGGTGGCCCCTGAAATGGAGGATAGTTGACGCGATTCTGAATAAGATTTCCCTTTGCAAAAATGGGGTAGGAAGCTTCGTTTTTGAATTATTAAGGAAAAACGCGGACCAATCAGAGCGCGAGGATTGCGCATGCGCAGACGCGAGAGCGACAGCTTCGAGCCTAGTGGCTGAGCGCGCGTAATCCTCGCACTCTGATTGCTACGCGTTAGATTACCACACCACACGTTGCATTAGTACGCGTGATTACTACGCGTTGGATATTCACACGCTGGGTTACTACGCGTTGGATTACTGCGCGTTGAATATCCACGCGCTGGATTACTACGCGTTGGATATTCACACGCTGGGTTACTACGCGTTGGATTACTGCGCGTTGAATATCCACGCGCTGGATTACTACGCGTTGGATATTCACACGCTGGGTTACTACGCGTTGGATTACTGCGCGTCGGATTACTACGTATTGGATTACCACACATTGCATTACTACGCGTAGAATTCCCACGCATTGCATTACTACGCGTTGGATTACTACGCGTTGGATTACTACGCGTTGGATTACTATGCGTTGGTTAACTACGCGTTAGATTTTCACGCGTAGAATTACCACGCGTTCTATTACTACGCGTTGGATTACTATGCGTCGAATATTCACGCGTTGGATTACTGTGCGTCGAATATCCACGCGTTGGATTACTACGCGTTGGATATTTACTCGTTGGGTTACTACGCGTTAGATTACTATGCGTTGGATTACTACGCTTTGGATTACTGCGCGTTGCATTACTACGCGTTAGATTACTATGCGTTGGATTACTACGCGTTGGATTACTGCGCGTTGGATTTCCACGCATTGCATTACTACGCGTTGGATTACTGTGCGTTGGATATTCACACGCTGGATTACTACGCGTTGGATAACTACGCGTCATCCGAAGCCGTCGCTATTTAGCATAATTTAACATTTAGTTTTAACCGCATTACGAACTATAATTATCGCATTACAATTTACAATGTTTGAAGTAGTTACTAGTGTTTTAGTCTTGTATTTGAAAATGTTTAGCATCAAACGTTCCTCACTATGGTTCTATGGTTGATGAAAATTTCGCAGAAAATTCCCTTCACTGCTGATGCATTAATGCACTTATACTAACTGATACACATGCCATGCGGTGCATTAATGACGGTGATACGCTGAAGTGGCGAACAAGGTAATACGCAGCATCCGCGCTAAACTGTCCCACTGCAATTTGCAGTACCCTATCGACGAAGATCTACATTTCAGGCTAACGTAAAATCGATACTCGTTAATAATAATATGAAATTACGTGGCAATCGATTTTACGTCAGAACGGATTTCTACGCCTTTATTCAATTTGACGCGAGTCTAAAATAGAACGAGTTAAGTTGCGGAATAGGAGCGAACCCGTGTAGAAATCTTCTATTTTAACCCGTTTAGAATTCCTATCGACTGGGGTTATTCACGTACCGTTTTTTAATTGTATTTCATTACTGTGGAACCGTAATAATTCTTTTCATGCGAAGTAAAATAATTTTTTGCTCAGAGTAAAATAATTCTTTCAGTATAAATTGAAAGTTTTTGTTTCGAGGTATTGTTCCAATAACAAAAGTTATTTCACAGCCGATAGAAAATTTATTTTTACAATTTATCATTCGACGAGAACAATTGTTCCATATAAAACAGCTGCCGTTAAAAAGCACGAATATACTATAAAAAAATATGAAACATGCTATAAAGAAATCTCAAAATGAATCAAACGTGTGAAGTAAAAATTTCATATAATTTTCAATCACGAAAGAACGTAAACATCCGTAGTTCGTCTGACGCGTTTTAATTAATGAAAAAGAAAAAGTTTATGGGATATATTCACGATCAAGGTCACTGTAGCTCATTAGCATGAATGAACGTCTCTTCGCATATGCGCTTCCGTGTATTTATTTTTCGCATCCTGCGAACGTTGCATAGAGGGGAAAAAGCATGGTGAAATAGTGAGAAGGGATGGCGTTTAATTCTTGAGCATGCGCCACCATGAGGGAGTTATTGCAGAGGGGTTGCCGCCTCGCTTTGGGGTGATGTTATTGATCAGAGTTTCTTCTCTCCTACGAAATGGTTCAAGTGTATCACGCCATGGGGAATCGTGCTTCGATTCTTTCCACGTGTACAAACTGATGCTGAAGGACAAAAATCTACGTTTCAGAAATCTTTCTTACATTGTTCTTAGCAGGTTCTGAAGAGATATGAACAGAAAGAATAGCATTTTCTATGTGACTGCTTTATGTAACATGTATAACATATGTAGCATATATGTAACATCATAACATGTATAGCATGTATGTAGCATTATGTAACATGCACTGTATAAATGATATATATGTACAAATTATATAATTTATATTATATAAATATAATAGCATGTAAGTAAATTATATACATATACAATGAACATTATAACATGTATAGTATATATGTAACATTATGCACATGCATTTATATAAATAATATATATGTACAAATTATATAATTTATAATAATATAAATATAATAATATCTAAGTTAATTATATACATATACAATTAACATGTGCAATGTACATATATAATGTATATAATTAACTGTACATAATTATATAATTACTTATTGTATTATTTCACTGCAAACATTTTTATACTGACATACATTGTATATTCTATAGCCTGCAACTATTAGTCAAGATATTTTTTTATCAGATTGCAAGGGGGTGAAAAATTGTGCATCACGTTAGAACACCCTATATATTAATATACTGGGTGGTTCACTATATTGCTTTACAATTCTGTTAATATTATCGCTGTAGAAAAATGTCAAAGGAAAAAAATAAATGCTTGAAAGAGTACTATATTTGTGGCACAAAAATTTCTTGAATATTTCATACTGCACTTAGCAATTTATTTAAATAAGAACACATTCTTTTTGTCATTTAACACATGCTTTTTCTATGCAGTTGTCATTCAACAACTTGGTCATTCAACATAAAAGAAATATGGGGGTAAAAATGATTAGTTATTAACGTTAAAAAATATCTTTATTGAAGTCTGCAGAACTCGTGTTAGAAGCAACACTTCATAATTCACACAAAAAACAATGAAATGTTAATTACCTATTGTTTTCCCTCCGTATTACCATATGGCTTTAAATGTCACCTAGAAAATGGTGATAAGGTTGCGCAACGGTGATAAACTTGTGCAAGAACAAACCGATAAAAAGGAAACCTCGTTTTATCTAAAAAGGAAGGCAAGCACATTCTGAAGTGGTTGATAACCGAACAAGTGCAGCGATAACGAATAACATATTAAAAAGCACCGACGACCCGTTTCTGAATAACAGGCCGACAATCTGTTTGTTAATCAAACGGCGTCGGAGAATTCTCCTCTAACGAGATACGTGAAAGAGATTCTGATTAGATACATCTGACAAGATATTCAGATGTCGTGGAACAGGCTTCGCGTAGTAAAAAGGGGGTAAAAGATGAAACGTAGATTAAATTAGGGAAATCAAATTCTTTAAATTTTGGGGTATACATTTTTATTTAACTCAGTCAAATTTTCTTTCCATCTGGTCAAAGAGAAAATTAGTGACATGTTAAAATTAATTTTGGACAACTATATGACGTACTAGTATGTTCTTTTATCGTAAAATCTGCAAACAAGTCATCCATCATTCTAAACATTTGATGATTCACGTACACTGCATATAGCAAGCTAATAACTGTAATAATGTAACTATTAATTAATTCCTGTGAAGAGACATCTCGGACGTAGCTAAAGATTGTACACCACAAATTGTTATCAAATAATTTAGTAAATTTTGACATCGATGAGCATTAGAACGGACAAAAGAGCAAGAAAGAAAACGGAAAAAACACGTGAGTCAATCCGCAGAAAAGAGAGAAGAGCGTAGAAGAGAGAGAATGCAGCGAAGGGAGGGAGAATAGAGAGGCCCAGGGTAGAAAGAGAAGACAAACACGAAGAAGGAAGTCGAAGAAGGACAGAACGAATCGAGTGAGTCAGTGATGGCGTACAGCAGCCAGGCCGAGCCCAGCTGTTCTTCGATCCCCTAACCTACGCCAGTTTATTTCAGCTACCAACAACACTACGTGGTCCCAAACGCTCTCTGCAACCGTCTCTTTTATTCTTCCGGTTTTATTGACCTTCGAAAATGTGCGAGTAACAAAACGAAGACAGTGGCACCTTACTCCCGGTGATCGGTTCTTTTTTTCGGATCTCGTTATCTGAACCTTTGAACCGTGGACCCTTCGACTTGTTCGAGCGAGGAAATAACGAATCGATATTACGCGTTAAGTGGTGACGTTTGTTTCTCAGGGGCTTTTTTAATGGGGAGCTAGAATATTCCACGGGAATCGTGTTATCGGGATAAGGTCTCAAAAAGGGGACGAATCCGTTTGAAGTCGAGTGACTTTTGGAATGTGATCGGAAAAGTGAGAAAGTTAAGGGTGAGTTTTCGAGAGAGGATGGGAATTTTATTCGAGGTAAACGGACTTCGGAGATTCATCGGAGTTATCAGAATGAAAACTTGATAGAATACTCTTCAGACAGCTTTGTCGATCTTTATCGTTTTTATGATGTCACATATTACTGAAAATTGTGATGGAACGTTCACTGAATTATGATTTACATTTTCCTTTAACATCTTCAGTGCAAAATTTTTATTAAAAAATTATAATGTTCGTGCAATTTCGACATAAAATAATAGTTTAACAAAAATCATACTTTGAGAAATTTAAGGTTAAATAAAATAAGTTTAAACACAAAATTCAAAATTGGTCGGTTTAAAACATAACATTAAAAAGAAATCTTTATATTCTACCTTAGAAGAATAAAATTCTTTCACAATGAAAATTTGTACAAAGAATTTAATTTTTAAAAAATTTTTTTCCAAGGGTCGATTTTTATTTTCCAACCTCTTAATATTAGAAAGTTGAAAATAAGAAGCACACGTTAGAAATTTTCTCTGGAAGAAATCAAGCGTGAAAGACAGAGGAAAATAGATTTTCCTTCTTTATCTTCGGTCGCAAAAGGCGCGTCCGGTCGATTTGCGAAACGAATGGCAAAACGTGGGCTGCGAACGACTAGTAACGTATAACTATAAATGGTACTTGTAGTGGTACAGCGTCGAGGTTGTGTCGTAAAGAAAATTTAAATTATCGATACAACTTATTTGCAATCATTTTTGTTCGAGGATCCTATTTAATAGCGTTCATTCTATGATTCATTGTGAGCTGAATACTTGGGAGTTTGGGACTTTAGGAATGTTAGAAGTTCGAGATAGAACGTTCAAACTTTCTTTCACAATATTCAAACATTCAAGTATCTAACACTTTGAAAACTCATAAACTTAAAATTTGAGAATTTAGAGATTAATAGTATAAAAATTAAGGAACTTATGAATTAAAAATTTAGGAACTAGTAAACTTACAAATCTATACATTTGAAAATAAATGTAAAAAATTATAAACCTATACAAAATTCACAAACTTATGAACCTATGAAGATAATTTAGAAAAGTGACTGAAAATTTGTGAATTGACACCATCGACGAAGTATTAACGACGCGTAGAATCGTGAAGACTGCGAACCGTGTAAGTGTCAATTATAAAAAGTCTGCCAATTACCGAGTGCTTGAAGCTTGGAAGTAGACGCACGCGGGTAGACGCACGCCCGGTTCCGCGAAGCGTATCGCGAAATCGTGGCTCGTTCCGAACGTGTCCGTCTTCGAGACGCCATCGAGAAATAGTTCCTTCGCATTCCAGAAATTCTCGAAAGGTCAGCGTACCAATTAAGCGTCTCACGCAACAAGTACCGCGTGCTTCCGAAGACAAGTAGTAGAAAAATCAGTTCGTAAGACTGTTATCGAGGCGGTGATGGGTCGCTGAAATGCCAGAGGGACATTTTGAAAATCTTTGCTGCGACGCATGCGTCCCGACGCACTCGACGCCCGATGGAGCGCGATGGAGCTGCCCCTCGGTGGATGAAGAAAGGGTCGAAACCCTGAGAAGAGGCTTTTTGACGGCGTGCGTCGCGGGAGTAGCGTGACGCCGTGACCGGCCGATTTCATCGATTTGTTTCAACGATTTTAACCGGTTAAAACATGCCGGGTGAGAAACGGACCTCCGGAAGAAGAGACGTCTCGCCGATGAAGAGCGAAGAGAGGAGTCGAGCCGGCTCGATGATACCTCTTCCGAGAACGCTCGTCTCGCAGAACCCGAAGAGCGTGAAAACGGAGAAGAATCGTATGAGGCTGATCTTGGAGAGCAGAGCACACGTCGACGGAGCGGAGAAGGAACGCAGGATCAACGAGGAGACCTTCCAGGATCTGCGGCTGTCCGAGCCCACGAGATACTGCGACTACAACGTGTATCGATGTCCTGTGCGAAAGGTGATTTTTTGGGATTTAGTTTGATGGAAAGTAGAAATAGTGTTTGGTACAGAAGTGGACTACTTAACCTTTGAGGCTCTTGTGATTGACACATTTTTTGAGTTAGATTCGTGTTAGAGTATTTTGACAATACTATGGACTCTGTATTATGTTCTTTCAGAGTTTATTTTTAATATTAAATTTATAAGTTTAATGTCAGAAGGTGTGACAACATTGTAGATGGGTTTCTTGAGTGTCAGCATTCTCCTGTTAACTTCATTATTGCACATTTTGGGAATGTGGACTTGTCTAGCTTGAGTAACAAGATTTGGTGGGAACTTGAAGAGAACCTCTTCGTGGCAAGGCAAGTCTTCCCAATATAATTAGAATCTTTTGATATCACCGTTGACACTCGAGGAACATGTGAACATGAGAGCTGAGGGTTAAGATGAAAAGTTGTCATAAATTTTTAAAAATATATAGAAAAGTGTGATGAAACATCTCTTCGATCATCAAATATTTTGTCGAGGTCATTGTCACGGTTTCATGGTCCATTGTTAAAAGTACACATGGACATTGCATTTAATACTAAATTAACCCTTGGTTAGAATATTTTAATTAAATTGATAATTTTAAACTAGAAAATCTAATTTAAAACTGGAGAATCTGATTTTAGCCTGAGTTTACTTAATTGTAAACTAACACAAAATTGGGGTAACCTAATCTAACATTGACCTGAGGTGGTTCAGTGAATATTTGTAGCACCTTTTTGCTTAGAGTTTTGAATGGAATTTTCAGGGAATTTTGTAGAAGATTCTTGAGATGGTTGTTTTGTTTTACGCTTACCCACATATATCGGTTTCGCAGGTCTCAGATCGATACTTTATTAATAGTCTTTATTGTACTACCTAGTAACCAAGTTATAGATAGGTAATTCATTCTTAATCGAAACATTTTTATATAATATGTCTACTATCAATAATTAATTTATCTACAGTTCTCAAATTTGTTTATTAAATAAATTCTAGTACTATCTCCTGTTAAATTCAACTACATTTCACACAAGAAATAAGACTTAATCTTATCTCCCATCTGAATCATTGACAAGTTTAATCTTCGTCGGATTATTTACAAAAGTTGAACACCGAGTTGATTGAATGCACGTTTTATTTGCAAACCCTATGACTAAAATTCTGAGGTTTTAATAAGTTTGCTTAATGTACTTTCATCCAATAATGAGTCATACTTATCGTCACATCTTTCGAAACGGCAGCCGGAAGATTGCTTTCATCTTTTTCGCACTAGTGGTTAGCATGCTCTGTTTTTTGCCCGCGTTTTAATTATAGATCTTTTCCTGCTTAACCCATTAACTGCAAACTTTTTCTTTCGACAATTTTTATGTAATTTTCTAGATTCTGGTCGTCTAATGATGTCGTTAAAATTGGGAAAATTACGTGATCGTATGAAAGTCTAATAAAGAAGTTTTATATTGAATGAAGTTGTAGTAAAAATTGAATATAATGTAAAAAGTCTTTCATCACATAAAAGTCTCACAAAATGGTACTTAAGATACATCAATTTAAAGCTTGAAGCTTACAGAAAATGTACCTGTTAAGTTTGCACTGACTGGTTTAACACAAGATGGCTGATCTTTAATTGTACCAAACAATGAACAGGGGTGCATTTGGTACAATATTCAAATATATGATTTTGGAACGTTTGGAGTCTGATAAAATTTCATGACATAAAAGTTTCACAAAATGGCACTTATGATACATCAATTTAAAGCTTGAAGCTCCACAAAAATGACCACATAAAAACTTCATGTATGTTTTGACTATAGAATGACTAATCATCAACTTTGTTAAACAACTAACAATTTTTGACTGTATAGAGTGTGTCACAATTTGATGACATAAAAGTCTCACAAAATGGCACTTATGATACATCAATTTAAAGCTTGAAGCTCAATAAAAATAGCTACATAAACGTTTCATTAATATTTTCCTCTAGAAAGAATTTGTAACAATAAACTATTAAAAATAACAATAACTAAAAAAGGTCTCGTACAATCTCAAGCTGTACAAATTCATTATCTTAACAAAGAATCCGCCATTTTGTAATAAGAATATCGACTCAGTAACACAGTTATTTCCAGAAAGCTTCGACCTTTAAATTGATGTACTATAAGTGGCACTTTACACTACTTTTATGTGATCAATTTGAATCAATCATGTCTGGAAAACAAAATGGCTACCAACCCGCATTATGGTTTCCTCGTCTCACGAATTATGCGTGAAGATAGAAATTTCTTGTTAAGAGACTTTCGAGTTTAAAGTAGTTTAACAGGCTGTTGCGACGTATTGTGTGGAGGCTGTTGATCGTTTCTCACGATGACACTATTTCGTCGCAATACGCGTGGCACGTTTGCTTTTGTCGCTTTATTTCTTACAATTGAACCGAAATGGGACAGAGGAGTACACTCGAGGGATTTCATTTTGTCGAGCCACTGACGCGTTTCAAATCATCGACGATTTTGGTTCGTTACAATAGCCACATTCGGCCATTTTGAATACTTTTATTACTTTCGTTAGCTGTTACTTTTATTACTTTCGTTAGCTGTTTCTGATATTTATGAATGGTTATTCAATTCAAGGTATTTATTTTCCATGAGATAAAAATAGAAAATGAGTTTCACAAATGAAAATTGAAATTCAAAGATTGTTCCAATCTTCAAATCTTTCTATTTATTCAAAGACTACCCTTCATGATACAAAATGTCTCATTTAAAATTTACACAACTTTCAATAATTTTCAAGAATTATTTAAACCTCATAAAGTTAAAATTATCGTCTAAATTATGTTTCTGTACATTTTACTAAATTTTATTAATTTTGGAAGAGAATGCACTGAAAGCTCAAGTTCAAGTTCATTGATCGGTGCTCCAAGTAATCGCAGTTGTTATAGAAAAGCTTATCAAAGATTTATTAAAAGCGAGTTTTATCTCTTGATAACTTTGATAACGAGGGATTTTTCCGAACCTGAAGAGCGTTCGACGACGAACGTGTAGTGTTCAGTTCGCGTTCGTGCTGCACGTGACTAAAATACACTTCCTTGCTTGGTCGTGTCAAAAATAAAAATACGGCTCGCAGAGAATCGATTCCGATGTTCCGGAATCGGTGAACTCGCAAAGTTGAGGAGCTACGTTCAAAATTTGAGCTTTTGGATAACTTTGTTACTTAAAGGTAGGAAATTTCGCATTCTAAGTTCACACATTAAGGTTCAAATAACAATTTAATATTAACTACACAAGTGGTGTGCAAAATTGATCACATGTGTATGGAAACTAAAATAGAAAAAATAAGTTTGCATAAAGATGTAAAAATCGCAGGGTTTGAATATTTATATTTGTCAAACAAACGTTTCTATCTTTATCTTCTTTTCGAATGAGGAGATTAGACCTTGTCAGGTAGAACTCATTATAGCAATACACAAATGAGTCAGAATCCGATTACCGTATCCAAGTTTTACTCATCAAGACAATCCTGAAAACAGATGTTTGTTTCGCGATAAACGGTTTACCTGATCGTTCATTCGTCCCAGATTCTTTTCTATGTAAATTTATTTACATAGAGCTGCTTATCTTTCCAATGGTAGAATAAGATCGTAGGATAAGAGGCTGAGAAAGAAAGTTTCAGGGTGAAAGTTAAATAAATTCTTAGGCTACTTTTGTTTTTATTATTTATTTTTTATGCACGAGGATATCTAGATGAAACACGTGGAAAATGTGTAACGACGCTCATTCAGACTCTGTTCCAATTTTTGTTGATGAGTTTGAAAGTTTTTAAATCTCTTGTCTTAAAAAATTTAAGTCCCCAAGTTTTCAGATTTTAACTTCAAAAATTTGTGAATTTAGAGGTACAAATTATTTTTACTTAACTCATCTAGTTTTTATCTCAAAATTTTAATTAGTCTACTAAAAAAATTGCAAGAATTTTCACAAGAAATAAATACCAGTTTTAATGTTTTGTAAATATATAAATATTTTGTATGTTGCTTTATTTATTAATTATTATTAAATATATGAAAATTTAGTATCTGCATCTCTTGATTTTGAGAATGATCCTTAATCCATCATGGATTTACCTCAATGTGCTGAATAAGAATAATTTAATTCACGTTCAATTCAAGTGGAAAATTTGAAGAGGAAATGAATAGATGTAGTACCTTACAAAGTAGCTTTTATCCATATTATACTATCTATATATCATGTGAAATGCACAGTCATATAGCTCCATTATTCTGTGTTGTTCATATTGTTCTTTTAATAAAAAGGAACGTAACATGATTAATAGAAAGAGTTACAGATAATACATTTATACTTGTATGGATTTTCAGATTTTTAAATTATAAAATTATCAAAGTTCAAATTACCAAATTCTAAAATTAACATTGTCAAGATTAATATATACATATAATTGTAAAAATATTATATAATTAATATATATAACTGAAAAGTATTGATTTAAACATTTGCAATTAACAACAAGTATCGTGAGAATGTTCAAATTAATAAAATGCAGATGTAAAATTGAGGCTAACGTCTAAGCATACTGAATGAATCACGAGCCAATTAAGGATGACTCATCACGATGCAAGAACGTTAATTCGTTACTTAATGTGCAACAATAAATTGAATAATCTCCTGAGACGATAACCCGGTTATCTTTACTGACAAATGTTAAATGAAATTCTTCCTAGAAAATAATTTCACAAATCTTCGTCACTGATACAGTTATCGTATCACAAGAATTGCATGAGTATCCTCTTACAAAATTCAGCCCCTTTATAAAGATTAATAATTGTATCCGTATACAATTTACATGTTCTAATTAAAAAATTAGCAAACTGAATAAACTTAAGCATGTAACCAGAACTTATTATCAAGTACACTCGGTAATTACATGCTCAGTTATTTTAAATGCATTATACGATGCGAATTACCAAGAATTAGTTGAAAATTAAAGGTAACAGTTTATTTTCCTAAGGAAAAAAGTGGCTTTACGGTTCTTTATTTAACTACAAGTGAACACACTCGAGCATTTTAATGACTTCTCGCGATATCATTATTTTAATGTTCCTTCTAAGATTTTACAGGCATTTTAATTAGTGCTTAAGATAGCTGAACGTATTAATTGTTCGTGTTCCTATTTTAAATTGTAGAGAAGTTAAGAAATAAACATTTTCTAACAGAATTAAGATTATTTCCATACATACTATATGTTCAAAAATAGCTTAAAATCTAAATATCAAAAATAACAGAAAACTTCAGCAGAATATTATTGATGACTCTTTAAAAAAGTGCATCTTGTTATACTACACACGTATATGTAACATAATATAAAATATATAAAAGTTCTTAACCTGTACAAATTATAATATATTATATATAATATAATATAATACTTAAATACTTAAATGTATATATTATATATACGTTTAAGTATTTAAATGCAAATACTTCTAAATTCAAAAGCCACTTCTACACCTTAAGATACCTCCATTTTGTAAAAGATAGCCCCTAGCAACTTAGTGACCTAAGACCTCCCCAGAGACGACCCCGTTTCAGCTCTCAAAAAACAGATTATATTTAGAAAATTTTATACTGTTAATTTTTGTGATGTTTTCCGTATTACGAGTGAATTCATTATTCTTGAACTTCTCGAATGGCAGAGAAATCCCGGAGTGAAAGTGGCAACTCTAAGCAGCAACAATGGCGATCGCGCGATTCCTTAATTATGCATGCGCCTTTCGACAAGCTGCTCCCATTATTATTTTGCCTTTCGCGATGTTTCTGTGATGTCGAAGCCGTTCGAACCTTGGCGGATTCGCTACGTTGACCTTTTGTTGGCCCAGAACGCGATGGGTTAATTGCTCGTTGCACGCATCAGCGTTTTGTCTAATAATGCAGCACGGTTAACCCTTTCGCTGTTACCAACTGTTTTTAATAAATGCGATGCGATAATCGGGAAGTTAATCCATTAAGCTTCACGCACTGAATTTTATGCGGTTTTTACATGTAATGTTCTTCGCCTGTAACAATTAGTAACTTAACTACTGGTAACTTGCATAAGTAACTACTTTCATAACTACTAGTAACTTGTATAATAAATAATAACTATTGGTAACTTACGTAACAAATAACTACTGGTAAATTACGTAATAAATAACTATTGATAACTTACGTAATAAATAATAACTATTGACAACTTATATTTTTTGGCAACTTCATTTATTTCTTTAAAGGGTAAGCCTCTTTATACAGTGTTCTAGTTTTACAATCACTTAGGACACAAATTACAATTTAAATTGTCCATGCATAATATTGACAGCACCGTTCGATGAATACAAATCGAATGCATACGTTTAACAATCGGGAAACACAAATGAAATGCTGCAATTGCAGATCAAGTGTTTATGCTTCGACCGCATGGCGATCCTATTTTCGAGGTTATGTTCCATCGATCACGTGGGTCGATAATCAATATTCCTGCGCACACATCCTGCGCAATACACGAACGTTAGAAAAAGGCGGTAAAACGAAATAAACGTAATATACGTCCTGCTTCGTAGAGATCTGCAAACGAGTTAATTTATCTGTCTCAAGTACAATTCACATGATTTCATCGTTTTTCTTGGATACTGTAAAGTATTAAGCCAAACAATTAAGCTAAGGAGAATATGTTCGCAGTTCCGTGGTTTCTAAAATCCGTGTTGAAACACAAAGCAACATTGAAGAGAATCTAAAAGAAAGCGTAACAACTGAAACGATTTTTTGAAGTAGATAAATTTAATGCTGCTTTCTCTGGCGGGATGTTTGTTTGAAAGACGGGAATGTACACGTGAACGGAGCCTAAATTGAGTGGGATAAAAATGAATGAACCGTGGAATTCGCGAAAGCAATCTCTGTGTGATGGTGTTTCGTTGTGAAGTAGCAATATCGTGCGGCTGGTTTCAATTCCTCGATCGGTATTGATCTTTTATGGAGCCGAATGAATTCTTCGGTCGTTGCAAAGTGTGATTACTTTCCCTCTTCTTTTTCGAGAAGAGAACTGATTGTTACGAAAAATGTGGGAATTCGGTTCACAACATTTGAAAATCAGGATCGGATTATGATGTTTAGGAACCCGTAATATTCTAGAGATTTCGGTGAGTTTTAAAGCTTATAAAATATTAAATTTATTATGTAATATGAGGTTTTATTTTTCGAGATGAGTTTTTGGAGATTTGGGAATTCGACAAATTTGGAGGTTATGAACTGCGGAATGTTGGATTTTGACACTTTGGCAGAGCAAGATTCTAAACAAATGTTTACTTTATTTAATAATTAACACTGAAGTATCACTTATACATACGAGTGCATATCAAGTTCCATGAAAGAAGTCCGAATAATTCGACGATGAATCATGGCGTATCAATGATCGATACGGGAAAGAAAAATAATAACTCGAAGAACTGACTCTCGAGATACGAGATTATTTTTAGCGCGAACAGTCGCAAGTGACACCGTCATTACACATTACTTCTGTCTGCGTGAGGATGTTACATGATAAAGACCTGCCACCTACGTCTTGTTATATAACAAACTATAGCTCGAACATCACTCTAATTGTCGCTATAAAATGATAGTATCAAATGTTCGCAAATGTTGCTTCTATTAATAGAATTTCAAATACTTAATTAAGCTTTCAATTGAGCACTAATTAAGGATTATTTTTCGATTTCCTTTGAATAACAAGTAGATTTTAATTCTCAATTTTATGATTCTAGAGTCTAATTTTTAATTCACTGCTTCTGTAATTGAAGTGTAATCTTTCATTGAGTGATTTTGTAATTAAAGTCAAACTGTAAATTTTTTAAACTACATCTTTTTAACTAAATTTGTAAAATTAAATTGTAGTTATTATACTATTATGTAGAATCTTATTTGAGTTAGATATTCTTGCACAAAAATTTTATTATTATACTCTGTCGCTTTTTACTTTAGTAAACTAGTACTCTTATTTCTGTGTTCTAGGAGTGTAAATGAAGAGCAATGAAAAAGAAATGTAGATAAAAGATAAAGCTTAAAATGTAGCAGGTCTATAACATCCATAAATGTCTGTATAAAACGGCCGTGTTTTGTGTCTCTTTGAAACGAAACTTTGTTGCAGGAGGACGCGGAAGAGTGCCAGAAAAGAGCAGAAAGATTCTCGGACGAGTGTCGCGTGTCTCGCGGATCGGTGATAGGCGTCAGCGTGGAAGGTGCCGGCTCGTGGAGGGCCCAGAGGCGCCCTCACGACATCGAGCTACCTACGCCCCTGAGCAGCGTCGCGGCGCACGAGCTGGAGTCGTCGGTGGACGGCGCAGCGTTCAACCCCGTCGTCGCAACGGCGACGACGTCCGCGAGATGCCCGCTGCTGAAAACACCGTCGTCCTCTTCAAATTCTTTGCCTGTCAATGCGAACTTCAGGCCAACCTTGTACCTCGGCACCGTGATCGCTGAGACCAGCAAAGAGGATGCTATGGAGCCGGAAGTCAAGGAGGAGGACGAACGAAGGTCGTCCACGCCGAGTCCCGAGGTAAATTCTTCTTTTTTTAACCTTAACACCCCTTGTGCACCCCTACCCTTCTTCTCTAATCGTTTCTGTATGGTGTTAGGTGTGCGTGATTAGCGCCTGTAAGATGAGGATGTGTGTGACGCGGAATGAGAACTTGAGTGCATGCGAGGGATCGGACGATTACGTTCTTCTGTGAAGTTGCCTTGAAGAAAACTTAATTTCGGGATCTGCTTGACAACTTTCAATATTTATGAAGATTGTGCGGCTCGTATTGACCGACAGACTGTCCTATAATCGTTATTGGTTTTCCGAGATCGGTTAAACGTTTTATGAGATTGAAAAATAGCTTGCTATAGAAATTGCTTTGCTGGAATTTCAATTTAATGCTGATATCAATTTTCGTCTTAATATTGGTTCATGGTTATTGGCTGTCACTGATTATGTAATTTATTGCCTTCTCAAGTTCCATTAAATTAGCTAAAATAGAAGATCAAAAATACGGATAAAATGACCTTGAATTTCTATGTCAAGAGCATCTGTGTATCACCCAGCACATTCAGCAAAAAATAATTATCTTTCAACAAATTAGCATCACTATACAGTTAAGTGCATGTGAGCACTGCGCATACAGAAAATTCTGCAAATTTTTTAAATAATTAAAACCAATTAATTTGGTATGATTTTGAATGTGTCATGGTATGTATCTATGTATCATGGTATGTTAACAAATGCCTATTTACAAGAGTACTTTTAAACGTCTTTAAGATTTCTTGTACAGCTTTCTTGCAATGACTTTTCGCCCCGAACAGCCGCACTCTTACGTAATGAATTATAATGCAGATATCCGAATGATTATTCGTGTTCAAATTTTTTATTTATTGTCTGAATGTATTGTCGTGCATAAGAATGAGATTTGGAGATGCAAAAATGGTTGGAAACCACTGGGGTTGCCTCGTGCTTGTGGAGAGTACGAGTCCTTCCTATATACACCTCCACCAGCGTAGACTCGTATTGATTTTACGGGGAGAATCTTTGCCTGTCAATGCGAACTTCAGGCCAACCTTGTACCTCGGCACCGTGATCGCTGAGACCAGCAAAGAGGATGCTATGGAGCCGGAAGTCAAGGAGGAGGACGAACGAAGGTCGTCCACGCCGAGTCCCGAGGTAAATTCTTCTTTTTTTAACCTTAACACCCCTTGTGCACCCCTACCCTTCTTCTCTAATCGTTTCTGTATGGTGTTAGGTGTGCGTGATTAGCGCCTGTAAGATGAGGATGTGTGTGACGCGGAATGAGAACTTGAGTGCATGCGAGGGATCGGACGATTACGTTCTTCTGTGAAGTTGCCTTGAAGAAAACTTAATTTCGGGATCTGCTTGACAACTTTCAATATTTATGAAGATTGTGCGGCTCGTATTGACCGACAGACTGTCCTATAATCGTTATTGGTTTTCCGAGATCGGTTAAACGTTTTATGAGATTGAAAAATAGCTTGCTATAGAAATTGCTTTGCTGGAATTTCAATTTAATGCTGATATCAATTTTCGTCTTAATATTGGTTCATGGTTATTGGCTGTCACTGATTATGTAATTTATTGCCTTCTCAAGTTCCATTAAATTAGCTAAAATAGAAGATCAAAAATACGGATAAAATGACCTTGAATTTCTATGTCAAGAGCATCTGTGTATCACCCAGCACATTCAGCAAAAAATAATTATCTTTCAACAAATTAGCATCACTATACAGTTAAGTGCATGTGAGCACTGCGCATACAGAAAATTCTGCAAATTTTTTAAATAATTAAAACCAATTAATTTGGTATGATTTTGAATGTGTCATGGTATGTATCTATGTATCATGGTATGTTAACAAATGCCTATTTACAAGAGTACTTTTAAACGTCTTTAAGATTTCTTGTACAGCTTTCTTGCAATGACTTTTCGCCCCGAACAGCCGCACTCTTACGTAATGAATTATAATGCAGATATCCGAATGATTATTCGTGTTCAAATTTTTTATTTATTGTCTGAATGTATTGTCGTGCATAAGAATGAGATTTGGAGATGCAAAAATGGTTGGAAACCACTGGGGTTGCCTCGTGCTTGTGGAGAGTACGAGTCCTTCCTATATACACCTCCACCAGCGTAGACTCGTATTGATTTTACGGGGAGAACTCATTCTGTCTTTGTCCCGCTCGACTGTACACGTTATACGCACACGTACATTGCATTTCCTCTCTCCCTTCTTATCTCGCCGCCCTTTAACTCGCCACCCTAAACATTTTCGCGAGAATTTATTGTATTCGTGTCCGTTTTCCCTTCCTTGTGGTTACGCGCGAAGACGAGAAATAAGACACGGGAGCGCTGTAATTATTTTCGGGTAAAACTCGAAAACTTGCGTTTGTTGATGTAACTAGAGTTTGCGTATTTATCAAATTTTCAAAGTTACAAATTTTTTTTTTAACAAATAGTTATCTTGTCAGTATTGCTACACTTCTCAATTGTAATACAGACGAAAGAAGGATTTAATTTTCTATCGATACAAAATAAGCAAGGCGATTAATTCGTTCGCGTAATTAATGTTCAACAGATTTATTCACGAAGAAATAAACGCTATAATGAGGGTGGAAGTAGCGAGGAAGACAACAAACCAGACACATCCCTGCAGGGTCACAGATTACCGTCCTCTTATCGGGGAACTTGGCCCATCAGAAGAGACGTATGGGCCAATCAACAAATGGGCTTTTCCCCTCAACAAAGCACGTCAACTACTGTACATAATGTGAGTTGCGTTTCTCTATGAGTTGCGTGCACCGTGTGGTTAAATTTCAAGGGAACGATGCGCACTTCTTACTCTGGAAAAAAAACATAGAACGAACATTAAAGAAAAGCTAGATTATTTTGAATTGTTATCGTGATTTGTCAAGTTAAAAAGTTAGGTCTCTTTGTTAATAATTTGGTAAGTATTGTGGGTCAAAATTCTCCAAATTTCACCATTCTTTATTATATAAAATATTAATTAAAGAACACTGTATATGAAAATAATAGTTCGCCATGACCCTCACAGGACGTAGCCAGTGTCATGAGCTTCTCCTCGAACTCTGGCACGGCTCTGGGTTGCTCTACAGAGATGCAGGGCGACCGAAGATTAGGAGCGAAGGTAGACGTAGTGTACAACCTGTTAGGAATGCTAGGAAGCACGGAAGGCAGGGAAGACATGAGCGCCACTCTACTATCAATGAGCAACTCGATAGACAACTGCCTCATAATGAGACAATCAGGGTGTCTACCTCTGTTGGTCCAACTGATCCACGCACCGGGCCAGGATCCCGAGACGAGAGAGAAGGCGTCGCGAGCTCTGCATAATATCGTCCACGCCAAGAGCGACGAGAGGGCTGGACGTCGGGAAGCGAGGGTTCTGCGGTTTCTCGAACAGTTGAGGGACTATTGTCAGGCGTTGAGAACGTCGTTGGAAACAGGACAGGTTCCTGACGATTTGGAAAGGCATCCCGGACCGACGATAGCCGCGTTGATGAAGCTGTCCTTCGACGAAGCACACCGTCACGCCATGTGTCAGCTCGGTGGACTGCACGCGGTTGCAGAGCTCATTGAGATGGACCACATGGCCCACGGCAGCGAATGCGACGACCAGAACTGCATCACTCTACGCAGGTACGCCGGGATGGCGTTGACGAATCTCACGTTCGGCGACGGGAACAATAAAGCGTTGCTCTGCTCCTTCCGGGAGTTCATGAAGGCGTTGGTCTCGCAGCTGAGGAGTCCCAGCGACGACCTCAGACAGGTCACAGCGAGCGTTCTGAGGAACTTGTCGTGGAGAGCAGATAGCAGTAGCAAGCAGACGTTGAGGGAGGTTGGAGCAGTGACTGGACTCATGAAGGCAGCAATGGAGGGCAGGAAGGAATCTACGCTGAAGTCGATACTCTCTGCGCTCTGGAATCTGTCGGCACATTGCAGCACAAACAAGGTAGACATCTGTGCCGTGGACGGCGCGCTGGCATTCCTTGTCGACATGCTGAGCTACAAGGCGCCGTCCAAAACTCTGGCCATCGTCGAAAATGCTGGAGGAATACTGAGGAACGTTTCTAGCCACATCGCAGTCAGGGAGGACTACCGATCCATCGTGAGAGAGAGAGGATGTCTGCAAGTTCTGCTGCAACAGTTACGTTCACCTAGTTTGACCGTCGTCAGCAACGCTTGCGGAGCACTGTGGAACCTCTCCGCCCGATGTCCGCAAGATCAGCGATTACTATGGGACCTGGGTGCAGTCCCCATGCTGCGTAGTCTGATCCACTCTAAGCACAAAATGATCTCCATGGGCTCAAGCGCAGCCTTGAAGAATCTACTAAGCGCAAGACCAGGCTGTAACAATCTGGTCCATCTGGACTCAACGGCACGAGGACTGGGCCTTCCAACCTTGCCCACTTTAGTCGCTCGCAGACAGAGAGCTCTGGAACAAGAGATAGACCAAAACTTGGCCGAAACTTGTGACAATATTGAACCTAGCACGTCCCCGACGAACAAGGACGACAAGTTCTCGCTCAAAGTAGATCACAGCTTCCTGGGGATCAACGCACGTGCTCTGCGCCCCTACCAGCTACACAACCAGCCCAGTACGTCCAGTATAAAGTGCAACGGGGTCGCTAGAAGCGAAAGCAGGGACTCTATGCGCTCCGTGACGAGCACCCATTCCGACACCATGTTCGAACGAGTGAATCGTCACGTCCTGAATGGATTATCTCCCACAGAGATTCAGATCAAACAACAGTCCTCGTCGTTGCACGCTGCGGTTGGTTTTGAAAGTGGGATGTCCAGCGAGGGACACTCCAAAGTCTCCTCCGAGAAGAAGTACACTTTACGTTACAAGAACGCTATTCCGGATCGTCTGAAATCGTCAGACGGTTTCAATGGCCTAGGTGACCTCAGATGCACAAACTCCACCATTTCGTGGTCCTCGGCACCGGACCAGGAATCCGCCTGTTCACAGAATCTGTTGCACTCGTCCGTGGAGGACAATTTGCCTCAGAGCATCTCGTTGAAGGCTGGCAGCCAGTCCAGCATCCCTGATGAAACTGAACTGAATGTCTGCACGAAGTCAGAATATTCGACCGCTAAAATGACCATGGACAGCTCGTCCACGTTGTCCTTTGTTGGTAGCAGCTCTTCCGTGAAAGACGGATTCGGGAACGTGTACGAGAAGACACTTCATCAACACAACTCGCTGAATACCATACAAAAAGCAATATCTCCGACCGTCAGTCATCGGACGGAAGGGACGCTGTTCACCGATTATGCTGTTACTGATTTAGATCAGCCGACCGATTACAGCTTGCGTTATGCCGAGCGTAGCTTGGAAGATGAAGAGAAACAACATTCGCATTACTTTAGGAATACTGAGCAAGAGCTGATTCACGAGGACACGCTGAAGACCTATTACACGGAAGGAACGCCTCATGGCATGTCTCTGAACTGTTCTAGAGCAGCCTCTGCTTCGGATCTGCAGGATGATAGGCAGAAGAAGTTGCAGGAGCGGAATAAAGATAAGGAAACACTGAAGTTTCAAAACACGGTGAAGAAGGTTGGAAAAGGAAGTCAGGGAATGCATTACTTTGAAGCTGCTAAGGATAGTAATGTTGAAGTGGATGATCACTCACCTACAGTTAATGCAGTAAGGTGTGTAAAACATATTTGTCATCCAGAAATAAATTTGCAAATCTAATTTATAAAATATTTGTTAGTATTTAATGAAATAAATAATACTTCTTCTTTTATTGATAGTTTGAAAACTACGCTCTCACAAGTGTCCTCAAGCAATTTACAATATGACGATGATAAATACAAGGCATCTAATTCAACGACAACTAAATCAGGTAACATAATCAAGAGTATAATTTATTGTTGACTGTCTATTGTAATAAAAGTAATATAATTTTTTTGATATAGTTGCAGAAGAAAAATATGAAACTAAAAATGTTATATTTGAAAAGAATGAAAAGTGCGATCAAAATTACCCTGCAAATGGAGTTAATTCGTATGTGACCAGTACACTGAAGGCTTCTAATGATTCAGGATGTAAGGAATTTGAACTAAAAGGAGATACCCGTAACATGCCATGCACATTAAATATAAACAACTATTCCGAATGTTTAGATCAAGTCAGTGATGGGGATGAGGACGATGAAGATCTGCTTACAGCTTGTATTAATATTGGAATGCAGAATAATAGGTAAATGTTTTAACCAAGAACTCCAATATAATAAAATTTATAAACTGTTATGTTGTACTGTTTAAATTGACTAAATTGTATAATAACATATGTATTTTTTTCTTCCAGGCACAGGCATTCATTCATAGGAAACAATTTTGAAAAGGTTCCACGAAATGAAAGTACTTTAACCAGATATCAAACCAGCATTGCACTGGATCAAATGGAGTGCAACTCGTCGGTCGATTCTACCATGAACAGTCTTGATATGAAACAAGAATCTGAAGAAACAACAGACGATGTTAGTAAAAATAAAATGATGGAAAATTCGCCAAATGTAAATATTGGATCTGATTACAGTCAAAACACAAGTAAATTTATGCAGAAGGTATATTTCCATAACTTTCTCTAAGCATTTTAATAATACTTATACTCTAGAATTGAAGTGTGAATCTTCTCTCTTTCAGACCGAGGAAAATAAAATCATGAAGCAATCAAATCAAATTTCCCAGAATGAGTTAGGCAAAGCGAGTTTAGTAATGGACGACGATAATCTGTGTAACTTCTCATTGCCCTCGAATTTGAGGAATACTCCAGAGCTGCAAGAGACGATAGTTTTCAATTCCGAACCTAATCAACAGCAATATTTATCCAGTATCGATAATCAATCGAACGAAGATATCTCGTCTTTGGTCCACAATGATCTCCTTGAGGACACTACTAACTGGGAAAACGAAAAACCAGAAACGTCGAAAGACAAAGTTCCAGAGAATTTGTCCATGCAACAATCTTACACGAAAGTAACAGATTCTGAGAGCAGCGAATCCATTGATTCCGTAGAACAATCCGAACATGCGCTGTTAGAATTGTGTATACAGTCTGGACCAACGAAAATCGATGACATTCAAAACATTTCGTTAAAGTCCAATACGGATGAGTTCAGACAACGACGGATTAACGATTTAGATGAGGATAAAATGTATAACGACACATGTGAAGTAGATGGTATTAAGAAAGAAGAGACTAGCACAAAGCATAAGACGCAGAAAGGTGGAGACGCGACGAAACATGTTGAGAAAGAAGAGGTGTATCGTCGTCAACGGGATCCTGATGCCATGATCGCCTCGCTAGATCGACTAACAGCTACTTTGGTGCAGCAGACGGAAGCGATACGTGAACGGGATTCGAGTGCAATGAAACAGAGTATACTAAGTGACACGTGGAACGAAGATTCGCCTAACGAAATCTCTTTCCCTAGCATCAGTATCAGTGCTCCTATAATTGCCTCGTTCAAGAGTGACGTACCAGAAGACCAAGGTACGGAGACAGTTAGTAGCGAAAGTGGACACATGACGAACTCTAAAATCATTCAAAGAGAAGCAATCAAATTGGCCGAAGCAGTCGATGCAGAAATGAACAGACAAAACGAATTAGACACGACTAGTATGACGTCCATGGACTTGGAAGCAATTAAGCCTCCTTCCTCCATGGGAAGCCTGTTGTCTTTGACGGCCAGTTACGCGGGCTCAGGTGACTGCAGCGAGTCGTTCAGTAATCGAGACAGATGTAATTCAACGTCCCTTCCTCCACTTCAGGTGAAGAGCGTGTCGACGACAGACTCTCGAGGCTGTCGCAAGAAGTCTCTCCCCCTTGGCGTTGTGGCCAAGCGGGCACTTAATCAAACTCAGAGTCACACGGGAAGCTTGGAGAACCTGTTGAACGAATGCACTGGCTCGCACTTGGAAAGTGTCAAACCACCGTCGATGATGGACGAGCTGCCAGACGTTGGTGATATGGAGAACAGCATGCTGAGCGTTGCAAGCATCACATCGGAAATAGCGGAAACTAAAGACCACTACTCGCACAGTCTAACTGGAAGCGATGCTATGTTCGATTTACTGAAACCTGTCGCGAACGTACTTTCTATAACATGCATGCGTTATGCTGAAGCTATGCAAAACAGCGCGAACAATAGTCTGAGCGAATGCTTGGAAAACATCAATCCTCCTTCATTATTCAACGAAGTCTGCGAAATGGACGAATCAACAATGGAACAGGCTACTGAAACGAACTGTAGCGACACTTTGTGCATCGACGCAGAGTTGTACACCGAAGAAGCCCCTCCACATCCGATCGTAGAAAGGATTGACGAAGTAGGCAACGACACCGACGAAGCTGTTACTCCTATCTCGTCAGAGTACTGCGGTACCAGCTCCGCTGAGTCTACGCCCAGAAAACGGTCGCACAGAAATTTGACACCGAAACAGAAACGAAATTTAGCCAAGGAGAGATACAAGACGTACACTATAGCTGCGGAAATGGACAAGAAGGAGAAAGAAGCTGAGAAACGAGAGAATGCAAACGGAGAAGAGAAGGTCACGCGTGGCAAGTGCTCACCGTTTTCTAAATTGACGCCCAAACAACGTAGACAGGAAGACAGAGCCAGGTTTCAGACGCAGGTACTGGAAAATCCTTTTCCTGACTTGAACCAGGATCAGAACGTGCAACGGGAAGTTGATAACGCTTCTAATCAGGAGACTGCAGAGAAGCCTGAAACGTCTCCTGTTAAGTCCTCGATTCCCATGCTGTCCAAAGTCCCTGGCTGTAAAACGATGATAAAGAACCGCATAGAGCAAAAGAAGAACAGGGAAAGATATCGCACGAGAACTCTGAACGACTCTGAGTGTATTTTCAAAGATGCAGAAAACGGTGTCGCTTCAAATACCTTGGAAGAAAGAGTAACTGATACAACGCGCAATATTCAGTCGGACGAAATTCAAACCATGCTAGAACAGAACGCAACTATTGTATTAAATACTCTGAACGAATCGAAGGCGATCGAGAACATAGAAGACACATTTTTGGACTGCGAGACCTTAAGTTTGGTGTCGAACGAGTCAGAATCAGAACGCAATCTGCGAATGAAGTTCGTTAATGGTGTTTCCAAAAAACTTATAGGCACTTGTGCTCAGCAAATGGAAAATGTGCACGAACCGGAAGGCGATCACAGAGAGGCGGAAGCTGGTACACCTAGGTCCACGGAGGACGTGAGATTTCTGGATGCGGCAGAGAGCGAAAGCGACGACGAGTCGAACAACACTGAAGAGCCACCTAGAGAGACAAAGAGACCGCGTATCATCAAACCTGGAATGGTGAGAGATGCCAGCAACGATTCGAACGCCACAGACAAGTCTGACCCCGAAAGTCCAAAGGCTATTCGAGGCAGAAGGAAAGCTCTTTATTCGAACCCGATAACGCGGAAACCAACGCCACAGTCCTCCCCATTGAAACAAGTGAATCCCGTCAGTGGAATTCCCATAGGACGCAGCAACACTTCCCCCATCGTAAGAGCTACGAGGGCTACCACTCTCAGACAAAACAATAACAATCCAAACATCATAACTAAAGACACTCCAAAATCAAACACGAATCCTAAAATAACTCCCGGTTCAACGGACGCAGAGAAGAGAACGAAGGTTCTATCGGTAGCCGCAAAGAGAGCGTCGGTGCCGCAGAAGGGATCGTCACTCACTTTCACAAAGTCTGTAAAGAGACACAGCACACCTCCAACGTGCTCTCCGTCGAACTATCAAGAAGCTAAAACGGACGTACCTATCAAACCCCTGGAAAGACAGGGAACCTTTACCAAAGACGAGCCGGAAGTAGAGAACGCGCCCACGGTGGTCTCCACATCTTCCTCTCCTATAAAAACGAAGATCGCGAAGCCGATCAGAGGTGCTACCTCCAAAGTGCACCCAGCGGTAAGCAAACCTAAAGTGGCGCCCAAAACGCATCAGGCGCATCAATCAAAAGTGACGAAAGGTACTACTTCGGAGAAGATGCAGTCTAAAGCGTTGCCATTGCTGGTTGCCCCGAAACGTTTGCCCACAGGTAAAGTAAGCGCCACCTCGAAAATTCCTGGTTCTCAGAACGTCACGCAGATGGAGAACGGTAAAATTTTTCGGAAAGTCAGTCCTCTCGGGCAGAGGTCCAACAGCAATTCCAGTATCGTGTCCAATTCATCGACAGGTGCGCAAACCAGAAAGTTAGCCAAAGAGGCGACTAGTAAAATAGCGAGTCTTTGGAAGAAAGTGGAGGAGAGCAAGAGCAAGCAACGCTTCGAGAAACCTGACACCAGGCAGTGGGTGCAGCCTGGCAATTGCGCCAACGGTGTGGACGGTCCATCCCCGGTCAGTAATCCACCAGCCTTTAGATTGTTTCGCAGCTCGACGTTCGAGGGAGTGCCTCAGGAGAACGACCACCCGGAATCGACCTTGTACAAGTCGAAGCTGAAGAGACCGTTGGTGATCGGTGTACAACCGAGCAAAGCGAAGTACAGGAATTCCTGCGACCTCAGCGGGATGAACGCGAACGACGCTCCGTGTAAGATTCCCGTGAAGTCCAGCGAACCCGCCACGTACAAGAAGGATACCGTAGAAGTAGAGGACGCTTCGGTGATCTTGCGGAAACCGCAGCACGCTGAGTCTTCCACGGCGGATGCGGTGGATCCTACGAAACGTATATCGCGCCTTGGTTCCTTCATAAGAGTAGATTCTGCAGAGGGCGCTGCACAAACGCACGTTAACGGCGGTAATGTGCGTACACCCGCATCCGCTATTGTGCCACCTTTTAATTACAATCCGAAACAAGATATACCTTCTTCGCAGGCAACCAAAGTAACGTCAGAGGAAAGCGAAGGAAAATTCAGGATGACAGATTGTCACAGCGACATTGTCACGGCTTCTACGAGAGTGACAACAGTATAGGAGGAGCCTGTTATTAAATAACAAGTTTTCGTTCATAGTATCGCTTCTTTCTTTCAGGCTAGTCATTGTATATTTGCTTCGTTACGCTGCGTTTGATCGCGTGTATCGGCACACGCGGTATTCATTAAGTAAGTTGAATGGTATTCATTTTACCTGGTCCTTTAAATGGCACCGAAAAATGTTAATCGATGATTTTTAGACCCTTCGTACGTGGAAGAATGGCCGATCGGGTGTATTTCTTGGTTGCATGCGTTGTGATGCAAGTTTTTAATATGTACGGATAAAGTGTGAAATAGTCGTCGAAGATCAATGATATATCATTCCTATTCACTTTTACGTATTGTATATACATTATTATTGAGGAATTCCATCATTACGAGGACATTTAAAATCGGTAGTAAGTAGCAGTAATTATGCTCGATTATTTATTCAATTTTGTATATATATTCAACGTGGATGAAGAATGTAGAAAGTTTAGCGAATACGTATTACGAATCACGATGTATATCACAAAAGAATAAAAAACAAAAGTATGTCGCTGTACATCTTCGTAATTAGGTAAATTTGCAAGGAATAAGATCTGTATTTTGTTTCAACCATAACTGATTTGTATTCTTTTAACGAATACAAAGTCTAATTACTTTTAAAGACTGATAGAAACACGATGATGAAGATTTGGACAAAACTTGAACATCTTCAACGCAAAACTGGATGTTAACGATAATTGCGGTAGTGATGTTTATATCAATGTAGCGGTCTAAGTAACGTTAGACTGGCATTGCGTGAAGAGACAAAATTTTGTAAATCCTTACTTTAAGTTTCTAGTCTATTTGAAAATCTACAGTTGAAATAGCTTCTATTTTGGTCATATGTGTAATAACATAAAATCGATTTGCATGTAACAAGCGTCTACTGATTCGACTGGTTACCCTTTCTAAAATACATGTAGGTACGATTACGAGTGTGTACGGATCAATTATGTATTTGTAGATTGGAAAATCGAAAATATTGGCATTGCATTTATCAATTTTATTTTGATACATTTATCTTTTCTTTAGTTTCGTTCGAACAAAAAATTTACTACACATCTGAAGTGTTAAAAAAATACAATATTTTAAGTTTTCTTCTATATCGTGTCATCTGTCCTTCTACATGTGTTAGATCGATCTAAAGTCTCATTAGAAGGAGAATGTTTGACACCATATGGAGTAGATTTTATTATGAATTATTTAAATGTATTTGTTATAAGTGTTTTACCCTGTTCCAGTTCGAGTTAATTAGATTTAACCCTTCCAACTTGGAACCACATCAGGGTATCCTTATATTTTTTTCTTTATACAAGGTTTGGTCTGTACACCAGATTCTTTTTCAAAGTTCTTTTGTAATCTTTGTCCTTTATCTAGATCTTAAGTGCAATCCATCTTTGGTTATATTGTATTTTAGATTTGGTAGGCATCTTAATGATTTGTATATTAATAATTGCAGTACAATAAAATTAATAGCTACTATCTACTTTCTTTAATTTCAATTATAGTAAAAATTATACAATACATTGCCAACAAAAAAGAATGAAAAATGCTTGAAATTATGTAAAATATTACAAAAAAATAGTAATAAATATACACATTATTCGTCTATCCTTATAAAAATGACTTTATTTATCGAACATTGGACATTCATATAAGTTGATAGATTTATCCTCGGATACCGATGCAATAATGTTGTTTCTTTGCGGATTGTATTTCACAGCCCATACCTAAGAAATCAAATTATTTAAACATTTATGATCTTCTATTAGTCATATATATTTTTAGTTATAATTTAATAAACACAATTTATATGTAAAAAATTTGTTTAAGTTTTAGTACATTTTTCCCGCCGCGTGAATTTAAAAGTTACAAAATATGCACAGTACATAGTACAATGTATACATAGTTTACCTGATCATGATGTTCGTTAAATGTATGTAAACATTGTCGTTGCGCTAATTCCCAAACTTTAACTGTATGATCTGAACTACTAGATGCAAATTTTTGTCCATTTGGAGCAAAAGCGACGCTAAGAACCCATGAAGCGTGCCCTGACATAGTTCCTGCTAAATTAGCATCTTTCCTGTATAGAAACAGATGGTATAATAAATTTATTATAACTCATGAATAATCGAAATTGTACCATACATTCGATTAATTCACTTTGAAGGAATAAATTACTTACACATCATACAGTTTCATGTGTCCATCATCAGATGCAGTAAGAAGCAACTGTGAATCTGGTGAAAAGCACAAGGATCTGATAGGCATTGCATGTCCTGAAACACACAAGTTACATAATACATATGACAATTACAAATTATTAAAAGATTATTTGACATGTACCTTCCAATGTACGTAATACTTTTCCATAGGTAACATCAAAAATATTAATAATCCCATCTATTGCACCACTGGCAATATATTTACCATCAGGACTCTAAAACAAAAATACATTAAGCTGAAGTCTTCCCATTTTTTATTCACATTTTAAATTAATATACTTACAAAGGCAACACTTAAAGTAAATTTTCCACCTCTGGTATCCAATGTTTGTTCCTGTTTTCCACTTTCTGTTCCATATAAATGTATTTTACCAGAATGGCTACCTGATACAATGAACTTGTCATCTGGGGAAAATACCACTGTCCAAATGTCCACAGGCCCAACTTCGATACTTGATATTTTTTCTCCTGCTTCTACATCCCATAATTTTAAGCTGGAATCTAGTGAGCTTGAAGCACATTCTGCAATATAATATGTATCTTACTAATACATGTTTACACATTAAGTAATGGTTACCATTTTTAAATATTTTCTACAAGTGATCTGCTTTTTTCAACTACTTACTTGAACCATCTGAACTTACAGCAACAGATACCACACCAAGTGAATGCCCACTTAATTTATGTTTTAACTGTAAAGCTTTATCTTTTTGTTCCCAAACTTTAACGGTATCATCAACTGAGCCAGTTACTAAGTACTCCAATGTTTCTTCTTCATTGGATTGTACAGAATCGCTATAATATAACAACAGAAATATAACTATAAAAGTAACAAAAGAATTATAAGTATTAAATAGGTATGTAACAGGAAAAATATTAATACAACAGATATAAACAGAAACAAAAATATGAAGGAACAAAGCCGGAGTAACTTAAGTTTCGTGACAATTACCGCGAATCATCATTATCTGGCTGCGCTTCCTTTTTCTTCTTCAAACAACCCCACGCACAGGTCCAAATACTGTCTTCGTGAGCATTTTCTGTTGTATTAAGTAAGGAATACTGAAAAAATTTCGAACACGACTTTGCAACTGTCACACATCATGGACAACATAACCTTTATGTTTGTAATATTTTACAAATTTATTTATTTCTCACCATTTTAAAAAAATACGTATTAGCTACACAACAGTATATTACTACAGACTGACGTATACTAGTAAATAAAAAAGTTTACTGAATGTAAAATTGAATATAGCTTTACATTACATATACATAAATATATGTACACACATATTATCGTTAGTATCTATGCTTTTCTTGCACATTCGGGGGAAAACTCGGATTTCCTAGAGAAAATGGCTGATGATGAAAAGAAATCCCTACTTACCCTGCCATTTTCCCTAGGACAACGTGATTTGTACTTGAATGTAAATACTTTTGTAAAAATATATTTCCTTGTATATTTTTTAATTCTATAGAAACATACGTCATGAATTTTGTAATGTCTGACTCGCAATAAAAATATTTGATATAGTATTTGTTTTTACTCATTATTTATCATTAGAAGCATATAATTGTAGATATTGTAAGATTCACTAGAAACCGATTTTAAATTTGAGGTTAACTTTTATTTTACGTACGAGGATATTTTACAATTTAAATACTTTAAATTATTACCTTAATTATATTTTACAGTATATGTCAACGTACAAGTAGGTGATGAAGAGGATAGTTTTTATTGTTGCTAACTGAGTAAGTGCAATCAATGAATTCTTTTCAAATAAATAAAAATATAATGAATACCTGCCCTTTACTTAATTTTAAGTAGTCAATTATAAAGACTATATTATTACAGGATACATTTTATTAGGAAGAATATTTATACGAGTTATAAAACAGTTCAAAATGGCAAACCTAGGAGGTAATGTACTACCTAAATTTCGTGATAAATTTAAAGTAACAACAAAAGATATATTACGATGGTTTCCTGGACATATGCAGAAGGGTATAAGACAAATGGAACGACAACTGAAAAATGTAGATTGTATCATTGAAGTTCATGATGCCAGAGTTCCAATTTCTGGTCACTATGCTGATTTTAAAAAAACTTTAACTGGGATAAAGCCACATATTTTTTTATTGAGTAAAATGGATTTAGCTGACATGACACTTAAAAAGTCTATAATCCAAAATTTAAGTCAAGAAAATTTATCCAATGTAGTATTTAGTAATTTAAAAGATATGAATTGCAAAGGAGTTAAAAATTTATTACCTTTAGCACAAAAATTAATTAAAGAATCAAACCGATTTAACAGAGCACAAGAGACTTCATATCAAATAATGATTATTGGTGTTCCAAATGTAGGAAAATCTTCACTCATTAATCGTTTAAGAAATGTTAATCTTCGTAAAACTAATGCAGCACATGTAGGTGGTGTTGCTGGCATTACAAGATCTGTATCAACAAGAATACAAATATCAGAAGATCCAAAAATTTATGTCTTAGATACTCCTGGAATTTTAACTCCTAAATTAAATGATGTAGACACTGGTTTAAAGTTAGCATTAGTCGGTTGTATGCAAGATCATTTAGTAGGGCCAGAAGTACTTGCAGATTATTTATTATTTTGGCTAAATAAAAACGGAAAATTTGAATATGTGGAAAAATTAGGTTTAACAGAACCAAATGATGATATATTATATGTTCTTACATATACTGCAGCAAAAATAAAAAAAACTATAAGAATAAAAAACTATGATGGACGAATTATTATGAAGCCGGATATAAGATTCGCGGCAGAACATATTGTCTCCAGGTTTAGAAAAGGAGAATTAGGCTATTATTGCTTAGATGAAGATATATTAAAATGATCAATAAAAGTATAATATCAAAAATAACAGCAAACAACACAATTAATATTGTACGTTTATTGTATAAAATATTTAGTTTGTAGGTATATAAATAGGTAAATTTATAGTTAAATTTATTAACTATTTAAATCTAAAGAAAGAATTTGAAATGAATTTATATAAAAAAATACTTTCATTTATTAAATAGTAACAAACACTTGTGTAATAGTAATAGTATAAATAAATATAAGTTACAAACTTGTTATGAATGCTCTTATAATTTCATTAAAATATAGTTCTTTTATTTATTTTGCTTCTTGATACCTGAACTTTTCTGATCTATTATATAATCTTACTTTTAACTATTTAGGTCTGTATTTACAGCATGTTTAATCCAGCACAAAGTACATTTTGGAAGTTACTTTCAAAATTACTAATTATAATAAATAATTATAGTAGAATATTATACATGTTAGTCTAAAATGATATACGTCATAACAAACAAAACTAAACTTAAAGATATAAATTTTTATTGGCACAATAATTAAGTATATAAAACTTTAAAAGTATTCTTATGCTATCGTCGTCCTTCGAGTATCGTAAGTCCCGTTATCCGAGTAACAATTCCCCCAATACATATTTCCATGTAAGTTCTCTTACTTTCACCGCACGGAACTTCGTCGCTGGTATAATAATCTTTTACAATTTGTCATCAAACCATTACCAATTTTTTTTATATTCCTAAGTCCAACTATTACTGAATGGAATCGGATTTATCTATATATCTAATTCCAAAATTGTTAGTTGACTTTTTAAATATGTTTATAAAATTTAAAGAATAATAAATTTGATTAATAAACTACGATTGTAGTGAAAATGTTTGCAAGAGTGACATTTTATCCAACGCTGTTGTATAATGTATTTATGGAAAAAGTTTCGTCGAGAAATTGGTATGATAGAATCGACGAAGTAGTTATATTGGGTGCTCTACCGTTTCGCAGTATGACGAAACAGGTATGTATTCATAAGCTCCAAAATTATGTTTATAATTAATGATATTAATTAAAAAAAAATATACAAATTTTAGTTGATAACCGAAGAAAATGTTAAAGGTGTTGTTTCAATGAATGAAGATTATGAACTACGAATATTTTCAAATACTGAGAAGGTGCGTTAATTATAATCTAAAATTGTTATTATTTAGTCAAATATTTTAAACGATAGATACTTTATTTGTAGGAATGGCAAATGCACAATGTTGAATTTTTGCAACTATCTACAACAGATATCTTTCAATCACCTTCACAAGAAAAGTTAGAGGATGGTGTAAACTTCATTAACAAATTTCGTAATATACCAGTTGAATTAAATAAATCTAACACTGATAATAAAACGTACCCCCATGAAAGTGTTTATGTACATTGTAAAGCAGGGCGAACGCGGAGTGCAACATTAGTTGGGTGCTATTTAATGATGGTTAGACAAAAACATAATATTAGATCATATATATTGTATTCAAAAAAAGACTGATTTGAAATGGATAAAATTTAAATTAATAACTTATAAATAATTCATTTTTAGAAAAATCAGTGGACTCCAGAGGAAGCAGTAGCATACATGAAACAAAAAAGACCTCATATATTACTGCATACAGCACAGTGGAATGCACTAAAGCTTTTCTATAAAAATCATGTAGAGACTAGTAAATTATTTATATAAATATGAAATTTATGTCTGTTATAATAATTACAGTAATATATAACAATATTTAAATCAACATGTACAAAAAGTTTTATTTATTATAAACTACTGTTCTCATAAAGATTTATAACTTACTTTCTGAAACAGATTTTTGAGCGTACTTTACATGTGCAAATGCAAACATTTTAGCCTTTTCAATTGCTTTCTGTATTAAATCTTTCTGTGAAGCATCAGAGATATTCATGGTCTTCATACTGGCAACTAAAGATGGATTAAAACCAGTTGTTGGATGATATTTTACATTAAAAGTTTTGAGAACAACGTTCATCCAGTTTTTTGCATTAAACTGTTTAGATGCAATCTCCTGTACAAAACAAACTTCTTTAATTAATTTAACAACAAAAATTTGAAGTATCATCTACTAATATGTTCTTTATACCTGAGGCACGGAACACCATGCTTTTATTGTGTCATCATGGTATACAATAATAAGTATTGGTGTACTTGGATAAAGAGATACAACCTCTTCAAGTGATAAATACAAGAGTTTCTTACGTATACAGTGAACAATAAAAGGAAATGTTGAATAGATGTTACTTAAATCCACATTTATAGAAGACCTTTGAAAATAATTTTACACTGTATAAATTATATCTATGCATTTGCTTTGTTTTTATAAGGATCAAAAGTAGGATATAATACTTACTTTTCTATTTCTTTTTCTTGTGTCCAAGCCAGATCATTTAAATGTTTTAATTTCATTAAACAATCCTCTTTAACCAGAAATGGTATAGGTTCTGCTTCCGCAGTCAGTTTATTTTCAATTTGTTTACTTTTTAATTTAAATATTGCATATGAAACTTGTCCTGTTTTTAATTCGTGCTCTAAATCAGAAACTTCTGATTGTATGTTTTCACCTATTAATTTGGCAGATATTGCAGGCTGTCCTACAGCTGCTTCAAGGTTAAAATTACATGTTCCTCTTGTAAAGTATTTTAGGAAGCAGAAGTATTCTAACATTCCCGTTTTAGATACATGTGTACCACAACATGCTTCTCTAAACAAAATGTTAAATACTGGTTATTACTAAAAATAGGACTATATATAATATAGAATCATTTTAAAATGCATAACGAATATTTACTTCGATCTTAAATCTGGAACATCTATTTCTACAACTCTGATACCGGTATAAGGATAGATTTCTCCGGGTATTAATGATACCGAATCTTCTGTTAACAATTCCAGTGAGTTTAATAATTTCGTAGTAACTGGAACATTAGCTTCTATAGCATTATTTACACGGTTTTCAATTTCTTTCAATTGCTCATGAGAAAGTTTTTCTCCAAAAGAATTGTATCGAAATTTTAAAAAATTTGAATTTACTAGAGAATTGCGTGGATAAACTCCCTGAATAATTTGCTTTACAGCTGCGTTCAATAAATGTGCTCCAGTGTGATGCTGCATCACCCCAATTCGAAATTCAGGCACAATAGAAACTGTACAAGCATCTCCAATGCTCAATTTGTCACACAAATTTCTAGTGAAACAAATTTTTATTTTTTCATTTCTTTTTTCAAATATTATATACGTAGTAATGTTTGTAATAATATTAATACTTACTCTGAACTGTTTTGGCCAAATGTTCCAAAATGTATGGCATAACCATCAATCTTTCTTAAATGATTTATACTAAACTTTAAATCTTTTATACAAATGAAACCTTTGTCTGACACTTGACCCCCTTCCATTGAGTAACATACTGTTTTATCCAATACAATTCCAATTTCATCTTCATTCAATTCTGTACTTTCATTTTCTTCAGTTGATATAGTTTTATCTGAAATAAATAAAATAAATACATTTTAAGTTATATTGTTTGTATGTAATTGATGCTAAAGGTAAATATATTAATTGACAAATTTTACCATTTCCAATTAATGCTACAATTTTACTGTCAACAGTAGGAAACTGATAATTATTTCCATCATCAATATATTTATATTTGAAACTATCATCAGTTTTAGGTACATGATTATTTTTAAATGTTTCTACATGTCTTCTTAAGAGATCTACATTGGTCTTTCTTAGGCCAATTCTTGATCGATTTTTGAGGTTTTCGAATTCATTTTCAAAGGCTGCACTGTCAAAACGCAAGGATTCAACCTCTGCTAATTCATTAATCGTTTCTGCACTTAAACCATATGTATCATATAATATAAAAGCAACATTTCCTGTTAATGTATTAGTTGCTTTTCTGAAAAATTCATAGAAGGTTATTAGAAAAATCTTTGTGCTACATTCGTTTATGTACATACATTATATTTACACGTCGATTTTGTAATACTTACAATTCATCAAGTATACTTTGGAAATACTTATATCCAGGTACTAAACCAGGAGTTGCCCATTCAGATATGGATGCTAATTCAGGACGTTTTGCAACAATCTTTTTCCATTCCTTACCAGAAGTATTTTGCAATCTTATGTATAACTCTTCCTCAAATCTCATTATTTTCTGTACCTAAAACACAATATAATATTACAATTACGTTTCATATTGTCATTTCATATTGTATATTACCGTTTTAAGATTATTTTGCAGTTCTGGATAAACATCTCCCAAATTTTCCGCTACAGCATACGCGAGTTCAGGAAGTATATCACGTTTTTTAAATGTCTTTTCACCTATATCAACTACTTTTCTGATTATTTTCCTGAGTTTATTACTGAAAAGACATATGCTTACAATAATGCAACACTTACTGTTACAAAAGGTTTAGGACCTACCTTTGTTCTGGAATTATTCCATCTGCTAAAGCTACAGAAATCATTCTACTATGATCTGCCAACACTCTGTATCCATTATCAAGTCCACTTTTATCATTAGAAAATTTACCCTCATATGCTGGAGCTTTTGTATATTCCTGAATGGTCTTAAAAAGTGGCTGAAAAAGATCTGTATCATAGTTTGACTTCTTCCCTTGCAATAATGCAACTAATCTCTCAAATCCCATGCCTGTATCAACATGATGTTTTGGAAGAGGTACTATTGTACCATCTGTTAACCTGGTGTCAAATATAATTAAAATATTATTTTAAAAAATATTTTTGAAACTAATTTTCATATCCTAGTATACATTACATACCTTGAATATTGTATAAAAACTATGTTCCATAATTCTGTAAGTGCTGGAGAATTTTTACTTATTTGATTTGATTGATTTAATAACTGTTTTGTATAATCTATATGTATCTCTGTACAAGGACCACATGGTCCTGAAATACCCATTTCCCAAAAATTTTCTTGTATTCCAAATGGTAAAATTCTATCTTTTGGAACACCAATATTCAACCAAATATCTCTACATTCTAAGTCAGGTTCTAATTCCAATTTTTCATCCCCACCAAAATAAGTTACATATAAAAAGTCTTTATTAATATTGTACCCTTTTGTTAATAGATCCCATGCATACTGACAAGCTTCTTTCTGAAAAAGTAAATTTATATTGAAAGTTAATATGACAATATACAGAAATAAATCATTTGAAGTAAAGAATCTTGAGAAGTTTACCTTAAAATACTCTCCAAAAGACCAATTTCCTAACATTTCAAAAAATGTGTGGTGATAAGTATCACTTCCAACTACATTTAAATCATTGTGTTTTCCACTAATTCGAATACATTTTTGAGAGTTTACAGCTTTCATTACAGGTGGATCATAATAATCTAAGAAAATCCCCTTGAACTAAGGAAGATATTCATATAGATATTCATACATGAGCAAGGTATTATAAAAATGATTCATTATAGAAATTTAAAGGCAAGCCTACTTGATTCATTCCAGCATTTACAAATGGAACTGTATGATCGTTAATAGGTACAACAGGACTTGAGCGAATAAAAGTATGACCTAAATCATTTTTAAAATAATCTAGAAATTCATTTCTAATTAACTTCGCACTTTTCTTTATTGTGGAAGTATTAGAACAGTATGTCCGTGCTGACAATATATGATTCATTTTTTTTTCAGTAAAATGTCTTCTCTTTGCTGATAAAATTATGCCTTCTTGTAAGTATATATTACTGCATTTTAAAATATTAATATACGCTATTATGTAAAGCGTTTTTAACTTCAATTCAATTTCTTATAAATTATTTTTAGTTTGCCTAACCTTCCATTCATTCTAAGTTGCAACTATTAAATTGATATATAACAATAGTTTGATATTATTTGAGGAAAATGTATCTCAATTTGATTAAAATTACACAATATCGTTTTTAAGTTTAGTTACTAATATGAATACAAGTATCGGCAAATTAATTCTGTTCAAAAAGAGAACATACTCATGGTTTGACAAGTTTTTTGTTCATATCGCGCATGTTATTTCTGATTAGTTGGGGCATATTTCGTAATCAAAGACACTGCGCATACGCACTTGTCATTATATTGCCGAATGCGTATACTTAGTACTTCTAATTCAAAGGTTTAAACTACCAAATTCGTAGTTCTAAAAATCTATTAATTTTCAAGTTCTCAAATTTCTGGACTTTTAAATTCCCAAATTTTCTAATTCTTAAAATTCCAAATGTTCAAGTTTGATCATGCTTGATTCATAATTCTTTTCATCATTCGTATACTTTGTCCACCGTGTATATGTCCGGCGAAATAGAAAGCGCGTAGTAGTGATGCAATATCACGTGGTGGGAAATCTGTTGAAGTTAGCCACGTTGCGCAAGTTGATTATGATCTCTCGTTGAACGAAGAACATACAATTTCTTATAATAAATACGTCCCATAAAGAATTGAAACATTCCTCATGTTAATCCACTGATTTAAAAATATTATTATTCATCGTTCGTTACTTGTATTTCCATATTTTTAACAAAAGAAAGGTGGCGTGATTACTCATGAAAACGTGGCTTGTCCAGAAATAATCTAGTGATTTTTGTTGTTAGATCAGTAAAGAGTGGCAATAGATAACATAAAACATTGCTTTCCGTCAAAAGTGTTCAAGGTGGAAATCGTTGACGCCATTTCGTATCTCGTTTCGCTGTTAGCGTCACGAAAGTTTTCTCCCTTTTTACTTTAATTTAATTTTGCCAAAACGTCGCAGCCACATGTAAGTAGTTACGTGATTTTTGTAGTCAAATATTCGATGGCCAAAATGATCTAAAAGAAATGTCCAATTTTGTGTGGTAAAGAGATCTCGCATATCGTCAATTACTACTAGGGCACGCCAAGGGCCGGTTGTTTTTTAGATATCCTTTTGTATTGTATCCCCGTATCATTCTATTTTCTTTCCAATTCGATTTGTGATCAATTTTTTTTATTTTTTCGGTTATAATAATTAGATTCCATTAGAAAAATCTAAATAATTCCCTTTTTTTTATTGATAAAATATGATAACTTTCATGGCCTTGAAGAAAGTATATAAGCGTCTTCTGCGTTTCCCATTCAAAAAATTTTTTATACAATTTCCCCTTAAGTTCTTTCAACGATTTAAGTTTGAGATTTGTAAAATTATAATAAATTAATTTTTTTATCTTGTTTTATTTGGAACAAAAAAAAATACAAAATTATTTTATTTGCAATTTCAGACACCTGTTCTTTTTTGTGATTGTAAAACGTAAAATACAGAATTTTTACGTATAATGTATAATCATGTAAGTTTTATGCATTTTTTTAATATTCTTGAAATGCTGTAGATTCTCCATTTCAGGAAATTTCAAGGAAATGTTAATGCTTACATGTAACCATTTCTTCCAAAGGTATTAATTTTTAATGCATATATAAGTACTTACAAATGTTTATAATTTACTTTTTTATAGTATTGATTTCTTATCATAATATTATTATATATCTATATTTATTGATACTATTAATGCTAAAGTTGAAAAAAGTGCAGTTCACTTCTTTAAGTACAAATGAACATATTGTTAGCATTAACACGTATTCTATTTTGTAATACATCTACAATTAAGTTATTTAATAATTCTTTTGCTATGAATTAGTTAAATAACTGATATTTGCAGTTCTCACATAAATAAACTTGTAAGCATCATTTCAATATTTAGTTAATAGTTCACCTATATTTAACACATCATTTTTTTTAAAACTATTATTTATCATAAATTTCTTACAAGGAAAATAAAAAATTTTCTTAACGCATGGTTTAGTTTTTTTTATATATTAGCAACATACATTAATATTAAATGTTTTATTTTACATAAAATATCATTGTGATTATAACTATAAATTCTTATGGTTAAACTTGAAACAATTGAAATTTCATAAATTCAACAGTATTGAATAATTAAAATTTTACTTTAAAGATTACGAGCTTCAGTATTTACCACAAAACTTGAAAGTGTCTGCTTTAAGAAGTTGATTCACGCAAAACTGTAATCTTGTATATGTATAAAATTATAATATAAATAATATTAATTGATATTAATGATTCCTAAAGATTTGATAAGTTATGGAAGAATTGTACAAAGCATTACATGTATATTAGTTATAATTATTCTAAGCATTAATATCAAACTGGAATCATTTTAAAGTGAAGTGATGTAACTACAGAATATCAATTAATAATATTCTTTTTTTATTTTCAGAAAATGGTTTCATCTAATCAACCGGTAAGAACAATGCTAATAGTAACTTGTATATTTTCATTTGGTATTATTTGATGACTTCATTATTTGTTTATGTGCACAAATTTCTTTATTTTTTTTACAAAAAAAAAAAAGCATTAGTTAAATGATATGATTTGTTCCTGGGTATGTAAAATATTGTATTTTTTATAAATTCATATATTTTATTAAAATTTTTAATGACTTATTTTATATTTTATAATTATAATGTTATTTATAACATAATAATTATAAGTTTAATGTTAATTAATAATTGTTCCTTAGAAGCTCAGTGATATTACATTGTCATTAGCACATGATTTTTGTAATAATGGTAAAACTTTTGAGCGAGATAAAATCTCGAACAGACACCGTGCTTTTATGAAAATAGAAGCAAGGTCGAATTCAGAGATACAAAAGAACCATTTTCTTTGTAATTTATATTTATACTATATATATACATGCATGTACATATTATAATTAAGTAGATAAATATAATAAAGAATTGTTCCTAATTCGATATTTTAATTTTGCAGAGAAAAACAAAAATATTTGTGGGTCGGTTACCAGAAAATTGTCGCAACGATGAGTTGCGACAATTATTTTTACGTTTTGGTGAGGTAACTGAGTGCGATGTCATGAATCGGTATGGGTTTGTCCACATGGCGCGTGAGGAAGATGCAGCTGCAGCGATCAAAGCACTTCACAATTCCAACTTCAAAGGGGCGACGATCAATGTGGAACAGTCTACTGGCAAATCACGTGGAGCTGGAGGACCACGCAGGGATGGAGACAGAAGAGGTGGACCAATGAGAGGTGGTAGAGGAGGACGAGACGGTGGTAGAGACGCTCGTCCTGGACCTTACAATGATAGAAGAGGTTCGTATAATTACCTAATATATTTTACTAAAGCCATTTTCTCATTAATGATTATAAATTTCTGTAATATTTCTGATATATTATTTATTTTTAAAAAATACATTTATTGTTGCTCCATAAAAATTTTCTTAAAAGAAGTTGATATGCTTTATTCTACACTTCCTAAATAATGTTGAGAGAAATTCATTAATACTGATGTAAACTTATTGTATTATAACATATAAATATAAATTCAGTAGTTTTAGACAAATGGCTATTTAGTATTAATGTAGACAGTGTAGTATAAAGCAATCAAGTGAAATGAGAAAATGGAAAATTAAATCATGTATATTATGTGTTTTAATACAGACTAAAATACCAATTGGATATCTCGGCATGCTTTGCAGTTCTTCCGATCCAACTCGTTGGTTACGATGGATCTGCTGCAGGTGGCGTCGCAACGGGGTACACCGATTACAATCGTGGCGCTGGAGACTTTAGTGGACGTGGAGCAGACTTTGGGACTGGGTACACCGACCGTGGAGCGTATGGACAAAACGTGGGAAGCGCGGCAATGGGCTACACTTCTACAGCGCCTGGAATGGGAGGAGGATATGGACCAGCAACCGGAGCAGTTGGAGGATACGGACCTACAGGAACAGCTGACTACGGACGAACAGATTATACTCGTGCTGCAGATTTTGGAGCTAGAACAGATTATGGTAATTATCATTCATTTTATTTATAATTAACTTCTTGTAATTAAAGCGGCATTTATTCTTTTTATCTAACATAAAAAATACTTACATTTGCAGTAGTTGGAGGTGGAATGACTGGAGATTTTAGTCGTGGCGCACCAGGTCCAATGGATTATGGACGTACTGATAACTTTGGTGCAAATCGCACAGTTGATTATACAGCTAGAAATGATTATGATCGCACTGCAACAGGACCTATGAGAAATGGTGGTGGTGCAGTTGCCACTACTGGATATGGAACAGGGTACACAGATGTAGGATATGATGAAAGCCACTGGTAATCTATTTTGTTTTCTTTAGAACATTTAAATTAAGTTTAAAATAATTTAATTATTCTAAGTTTCAACTAACATAAAATACATTTCTTATATATAATATGTTCACTGCATATTAGTAAAAGCTTCTCTAATATTTAACTTTCAATGATATTTCAAATTGTTGCATTTAATTATTAAAGATCACATTGATACATTTTCTACAGCCTTATAAAACCGTACAAACACAACAGTCATGAATTGAAACTTCATTTTTATTCTAACCTGTAATGCTTAAACTAATTCAATAGTCATTAAACACATACTTTTAATTAATTACGCTTGAGCAAGATTTTGGTGCATCATGCAGGATAGAGTGAAAATAAGTTAATATATTCCAATTGTGTATGACAGGGGTTATCCGGGCGGGCCTGGGGATATGATGGGTGGGCCCGGGGGGGTAAATCAGGCAGCTTCGATGGCCTATGACAGGAGGGATGGTCCCCCTGTTAATGATATGACTCCGTTTAACAGGCCAATAAGTACAGGACCCAGCTACAGCACTGGGGCACCTAGCTACAGTACTGGTCCAGGACCACAAGCAGATATGTTTAGTAGAAGACCAGGCAGTGCTGTCCCCAGTAGTGGATATCCTCCTGTTGGTGGAGGGTAAGTTAAATTATATTTATTTCATTATTAGCTTACATAAATATAAAAAATAATAAGTATTATTCAAACATGATAAACTGTTTTTCTTTTCCTTTAATAATATGTACAAATAACAAAATGGTATATGAAATGTGTAAACAATATAACTTAACTATGTTTACAAGTACACATATCTTCAGTGGGAAAGTTTATATATTTTTTCTTAAAGATATGTCATAATTAAAAATAGGAATAATATATCTATACTGAGGTGCACTGTAGGCTTCCATTAGTCGACAAAAAATTTCTTTCCATAGTTTGCTCTAGGTTCTTAGGTACTCCCAAGGTACTCCCATAAGTAAAAATGATGGAAGCCTATATGGTACCCTCTTGTAAGAAACAAGAAAATTAATAGTTTAATTTTTGTTTTAGTTATACCGAAGGATACGACAGACCAGATGCATATGGTCCTCCGCGCAGTGGTGGACGGTAAGTCTTTTTCTCGCTACTATTTTCTTTTAGTATATTACACATTTTACACGAATGCGTTTTCCAAAGTGACACTCATTACACAGCGTTGAAGAGCGATGTTAATTTATGCGAATAACGATCGTTCGTTAATCAGGCGACCACGCTCTTTTTGCGCAACGTATTACATTTAGTTCAACCACTGATCCTCAATGTGTTCACGTTTCTTATGCGGATCGAGTTAGGCTAAAACATATTTTCTGTAAAAGTATAAGGTGTGACACTTAGCGCGAGGGAAACGTTTCTTGATCATCGAAAGCGTACATTTGTGCATGCAACGGCACGCCATTGATCTCGTTTGTCAAATACCGAGAAAATCGTTCTGCGACTTTTCTAATGTTGAGTGTGAAAGAGAACAGAGGTAGTTGTATTTATGTTATAATTTCATATGATGTTTGAAGATTTTGTTTCAATTTAACATATTAATACTAATCCAGATATTTTTATTCAATAAAATTAAGTTCTTCTGTACATGTTTTTAGTTAAACTTGAAATACAATTTGTGGATAAAGTTTACAATAAATTGTCAAGTGCACATTTCTTGAGTGATGACCTCGGATGATCAACATGAACATTTAGTTTTTATATATAATGTTGATTGTCTGAGGTCTCCTTTTCATTTATCTTATTAGTTATATTAAAATTAAATAATTTCTTCAGTAAAATATTTTCGAATACTGCCTCTCTTCTTTTATGTACTCTGCGCCCAAAAGTCCGCGAAATTCAGCGTCCACGCCGAGAAGAGTATTTGCGAGTAATCGGCCGATCTGGCAGATATGACGATGACAACGACGACGACGTTAATAAACCGTAATGCGAAACACTGCGTCGGTATTCGTGCATGTTAAACACGCACGAAATTCAACAGATTTCATCTATTTTTTTTACTTTCTTTTAACGAACGCTGTATAAGAAACAATGCGTATTCAAGATGCATATATGTACGAAGCTCGGTTTGCTACGAGAATTGCGTTTGCGTTTGTATCTTGTTTGTCGCGCATCTCTTGGCAAGAAATGTTGCAAGGTAGCCGAATACTTTCGACGATTATTACGAAATTTTTACGTTCGAATGCTCGAAACGCATCGTGGCTCGCGGTTATTTAAACGCTATAAACTGTTTTGCGAAAATGGCGAGAATGGCGCCTTTTTATGCGGCGATACCTTTAAACTTGTGATAACTTATCAGACCTGGGACTAAGGCGTTTCTTCTGTGTAACAAATAGGCGACATTTTCTTTTCAATATACTGATATATTTAATTGTAAAGATTTTCTATAAATATTCTATTATGTATCGAAAATCAAATGAGATGAAATTAGAAAGAAATAATTGGAAAGTGAAAAATTTAATGCGGAAAACAATTTGTAAATTTGTTATATTAGTAATATGCTCCGACTGAAGTTAAGACTTGAATAAAATGTAGAATAACATTAGAATGAAATCTTTCAGGTCTGATGTCATACTGCATCCAGTTGGAATACGTTGAATTGTATATAGAGATTGTTGATCTGGCTTAAAGTAGGAAAGAATTTCCGTAGAAATTTGTAAATAATTCCCCAGGTCTGTAAGTTGTATATCATTCGGCAAATGTGTATTATATATTCGTTGCGAAGAACCGAAAAGAAAAAGATGAGGTTTCCGTTCGTCGTCGTATGAAATATCGGTTCGATTGTCGAGAATTCGCGCGTACCAGTGTTGCATCTTATACTTTCCAGCTTTTGTTTCGCCGCAAGGCGATTGGAAGGAATTAATACTGCGATTTTTCATTTTTTGACCTTTTAGCTTCCCAGGTCCGGCAGACGCGATGCCACCGAGGTACTAAAAGCGTACTAAAGCAAAATACTAAAGCGCATGCGAAAGGCACCCTTAACAAACAAAAATACAACAAAAAAATGCCTCTTTAGTCTGGTGGTCATTCGCTTACGGAATCGAATACCTAGGAACTGCCCTGCGTCCGACATACAGAATCCATATACCATTACATACGATATATAACTATGTATAATGATAGATACGATAGAGATACGATAACGTTTAATGCTAACTTAAGCCACGGTAAGAATTAAGAAGCATCAAATATGAGTAATAACGAATAAGAATGAACACAACCTACGATTCATTGACGAAGAGCATAGAAGAAGATTGAATCCCCCGATTGAAGTGAAACGAACAAGAAACAAACAAACAAACGAACAGAAACAAAAAAAAGAGTATTCCAAGATGGAATCAAGGGATTTTATATATTGTCGTTCATTTTCTTTTTCCAGCAGATAGCGGATATTCATTTTGTTTTGCGATTTCTGTTTCGTAGTGTTTTCTTGATATTTCCTATGTTTTTTCTCTCACTCTCTTGTTTCTCGTAGCGCTAAATGCAGAACAGCCCAACTTCAGAAACGGTTACGGGTTGAACAATTATCTTTTTATCTATCTTATTGTCACACGATAATTACACGATTAGGATAAAATAATTTCGTTATAAGTTTATATATATATATCAAATATTTAGATCAGCAAGATGATGTTGACTTAGGCTATTAAACAAGATTAAAAGAAAAAAATGCTGTATAATCTTTTTTTACACGTAAGAACTTGGATAATGTTTTAAATGTTCATTAATAAAGCAAGGAAACGTGTTTGCAGAAGAGTTATCAATGTACCTTGACGGAATGAAAAATAAAATTCAAACGTACATATCTTTAAGTCTCTCTTGGCTCTAAATGTTTCAGAGGTGTACATTTATACTTTGCTAAACCTTGTATCTTCAAATGTGTTTCACGCGTACCATTGGGGATCTTTCTGTATCTTTTTTTTTATTTTATTTTTCTTTGTACTTTTCGTTTCGTGCGATTGTTTATGCTTTTCAAGCAAAACTTTCTGCTACATCTTCTCTTCGTTGAAACGTGCGACGCTGGCTAGCTGATAGAAGGGGATCCGTCGAATACAAATTATCTACATGGAAGATGATATTAATTAATGGTGAAATTAATGGCATTTCACTCGCGCGATATCGTTTTTCTCGTTCTACAGCGAACCAACTAGGAATGTTCGGCGCGCGTTCCATTCTTGGTACACATTATTATTATCTGAATGATGTTTTGCATTGCAACGTTACCATAGAAATTAAGATAAATATGATCGAGATCAATCGTTTATACAATATACTTCTTTTTCATTTGTACGCCCTTATTCATGTCACTGAATTTGCTTTTCATTTTTCAGAGTCGAACAGTTAGATCAGACAGGGATACAGAACTGAAGTTTTCAAAACGCTCGCTGTGGACCAAGAACTCATACAAGCGTCTACTATAATTTTCACCATAAACATGTGTACAAAGTGTTCCACTATCCCGCATCAAAACTATTGATATTTTCTTTTTCCTTTTTATACGTAAAATCATGTTTTCTGTTTTTAAAAAAGAATCTGATTAAACTTTTCTTTAAAAGTTACTAAAGAGAGGAAAGAAATGTATTAACAATGTATTGTAAATTGTATGTACAATCATTACTATATCAGTAATGTAAAAGATCAAATTGAAAAACAGAATGTTTTGAACAATTGTTATAACAATACCTTACATCCATTCTTATTGGGAGGCATTGTAAAAAAAAATTCCTAGATTTATTAGAAACAGAAACAATTCATTCCATTTTTCTTTTCATAAAAATCAGTAGTTCAGATATTTCAAAGGATGCTTACCGTGGGACACTCTGTACGTGTATTTATAGTAATTAATTGGTTATTTTTAATTCATTGCACTCTAAGCATATCTCGCTGGCACAAGTTTGTATCAATTGTATCTACATTGGTGCTTGAACGCTGTTTAGAACAGTTAGAGTGTGCAAAGGGTTAATAATAAGGAACGATGTTACCGAATAACTTCTTAAGTTTTCAAATACAACATTGAAATAATTCAAATATCTAGTATTTACTCTGCTGAATGTATTCGGTCCACAGCGTCCATACATTACGAATTTCAATGTTCCTATTATAGAAATCTCCATGTGAAAAATGTTTTTTGTCAAATAGATATCCCATCCTCCGTTTAGAATTCTTTTATGGTTTATAACGGTGATGGTCGGGGCCTGATAGTGTTCACAAGGCACTGGTGCAATGATGGGTTTTAAAGATTTCAAATTTTCAAATGTATATATTTTTTAGCTCTACAATTTAAGGATTTGGAAATTTAATTTGGACAATTTGAAAATTTGTAAACTGATTACTCATCAGTTGACCATCATTGGTATATAATACTTGGTAGAACCATTCGTGTAAACGTTATGATCTCGATCATTGTATTAGTTTGATATTTTTGAAGCTCTCGAAACTTTTGTATGTTAGAATACAAGTGTAAATGCAGAACTTCATTTGAAAGTTGATGGAATCTACAATGACTTGTACTTAGAACAGCGTAATCTTGAATTGTGCGACGAACCCGCGTAAGCGCAGCTCACTTCGAATCCTGGTGGCATATCAACGTCAGATTATACGAAGAGACCGATATCAAGTCGCTTACCTATGCGTGTGGCCCGTAGATGCGACTACTGGTGAATAATGCAAGCTTCGATATGCGGATAACGTGCTACAAATTGCGTTTGCGCTCAAAGCTGGCGGTGCTTTGAATTTATACAGAAGGTATGTTTAACGCGTGCGCCCTTTACTCTTTGCTCATTAAAGCAAAATTATAAATAGAAACATATAAAGATAATAAATAACAGAATGCGCTCTCTTATGCGCATTGTGTCTATTATCAGTCATTGCGAACGATGAAAATGCACGGAACTACGAAAAAAAAAGAAAAGAATGTTACTACAATCGTCGATTGTGAAAATACCGTTGCGAACGTGCTGCGATGGCGAATATTTTCGACATTTAACACGCGTTAATTCTAATTCCATCTCCTAATGACCAATCTTACTTTTATTTGTCAAAACTGTTTGGAGGCGCAATGATAATATTAACTAAACTGCAATTATTTTATTTCATTAAATTAGTCTTGTTACTTCTTACAATACACTGTATTTTAAAATTACTTTAAGTATATTTAAATTAATCAATTGTTATCTTTGTAGATGAACAATTAGTGCTGTGATATTGCTTTTATATACTTCAGTAGTTAATAATTATACAATTAGGAACTAAGGAAAAGATATATTACATTCAGTTACATGCGCTAATACTAGACATTAAACGATACAAATTGACATTTGCGACAGAATGCAACGGAGATGGAATTAGGAGTAAATTAATGCGAATACAGTTTTTTATGTGAATGTCAAAGCATAAAATTTTTCTTTAGTTTAAGATTTCACAAGAAATGCTCGTATCTGTTGCGGGCTTTGAAAATGCGCTATGCACCAAATAATACCATGTTTTTGATAGATTACAAGCGGGATGACGACACAGTGAGGACAATGAGATGAACTCAGATTGGAAGTGTGGGTCCTAATAATACCATGGAGTCTCTCACTCTATACTCAGGTCCGTGGATTTATTCCATCAGCAGGAATGTTTGCGACGACGTTAGAAAGAAGAGAAATGCGGATAAGGAAGAGAAAAGAGGGTTTCTTTTTTGTTCACGTGTATTGGAAATGTAAGACACACCGATAATTATTTCCTTAAATATTTCATACGCAAGTGTAAGCGATCAGTATTATTTCATTGTTAACACTCAGGTAATGGTGACTCAAATTCTACTGGTTTTTATTAAAAATTGTTTCTATTGCTTCATTAAAAGAAATAAAAGGGGAGAAAGTATTTTTATAGAATGTGAAGTGTAAGAATTTATCATTAATAAAAAATGTGTGTCATACATGTTGTATCAGATAAACAGTCCATAAATAATATGTAAAAGTCACTAATAGAAATTAACTTTATTATGGAGATCTCAAACCAATGTGCATTGTCAATATTTCAGAATCTTCAATAAATATTGTTAACCCTGAAACATTGATGGTATATATTGGTCATTTGAAGTCTAATTAAAAATATTCGTATTAGGTACTTAAAGTTATGGATAATAGATTTAAACAAGTATTCTGAATACAATAGATAAGATTGGTTAAAAATAGAAATAGTATCTAATAACTTTTTCAACGGCTTCAGCTTAGCAGTCAATGTTTCAAATAAATATAAATAAATTACTCGAGATGCTTTATATGCTGCTTTAATAAAACAATCTACACATCATTGTATATAAAATAAACAAAGATCAGTCTCCCCCGATTTGAAACCAATATCTGAGAGTTAACTAACATATGCCAGTTATTCTTTCAAATATTGAAAGTAAGTAAATTATTCTTTAGTAAAGGTGAACGTTAAGATGTGAAAAATGGCCTTTCTTAAAGCAGGAAATTTAAAACTGATGTCTTTACATAACATACCTAATGTATTTATTATTGTATTCGGCATAAACTTGTAAAGAAACAATATTTATGTAATAAATATTTTTTTCATGTATTATTAAATTGAACATATTTAATTATATCGGACTTTATTTTCAGTGGTGTGATTTAAGATCTGGATTTTTATTTACCAATTTTATTATATAACTTTTTATAGGAATGTGTACAAGATACTTTGATATTTGATACAAGCATTATACATTTTAATGTAACAATTTTATAAATGTATAAAAGGTACAGATTTAAAAAAATACTAAAATATGTTAAAAACATTATTATATTACAATAAAGCTTCAAAATAAATTGCATAAAAACATAATGCTGTTACAATAAATACTGCTTTGTAAATGTTTTATAGAAATCTGTGATCTTTTTTTACCAGTCTATAAAAGATTAAATTTGATACCAATGACAATGTGTGCAGTAAGCTTTACGTAATGCAATACATTTCATTATTCATAACTTTTGTATTTTCATTCCAATTTAGTTTATGTTCAATGTAGAAATGTTTGCTATTTATGCTAATTTAGGCTCAGGACCAACACCTCCTGCAAGTTTATAAACTAATAATGCGACATCTATAGTTAATTGCTTAAGTTCATTTTCATCTTCACATTCTGCGTATACTCTTACTACATCTTCGGTTCCCGACGGTCTAAAAATACAAATTGTTTCCATTTAATATACTGTCTACGATGCACAGTCTGAGAACTATTGCAATAGATAATAAAAATAATTACCTAACAAAAGATCGACCTTTACTGTATCGCGATACAACCTTATCAATTTTCTCTTGCAATCCCGCAGGTGTTACACATCGTCTTCCTGCGTCAGCTGTTGTTATAGTATTCTTATCAGCAATTTTTACCTTTAATTGTCTATTCGGCAAGTCTTTGTAACTTCCTTCCCAATCTATAATACTCCATCCTTTTGCATGTAAAATTGTTTCTACTAGTAACATGTCGCTAAAGGCGTCGCCCACTGTTTGATTTATTACATCAATTATATTCATTAGCTTAGAAGCAGCTGATTTTTCAGTCGCAGACAGTCTACAAAATTATAGTGTATTAATGTTGACTGCCACAATTTTTTTTGCAATTTATTATTGCAATGTATTAAATATTTTGATACTCTGTTTCATACAATAGACTTAGATAAAACATACTGTGGATTTGTAGTAGCATTTTTAATTGCCTGAATCACAGTATCTTTAAAAAGCACTGTTCCATGACCATTAGCTTCAAAATATACTCCTATATCAAATTCTAATGCTTTCTTGTGTAGATGTTTGATGCCAGTTGATACACACTCAACGGGTATTTGCTAAAATAAATAACAATTTATGATAATATTTATCGACGACGATGTTTAAAAAATTCACGTACCAGTACATTGGAAATATAATTGGTGGAACCACCATTGGCATATGCTGTTTGTATTAAGCCAAGTTGAAATGACAAGTTACTTTCTTGCAAAAGTTCTTTAAAATATTGTGCAATAAGTGTTGCTATTCTATCCCCATCCATCATATGAAATTTATTGTTTTCATCCAAATAGAAATAAATTATTCTATCTGCATCACCATCTACAGATACACACCTATCATTTGTTTTCACAGGAAAATTGGCTGGTGGTGCTTGTTGTACTTTAACATAATCAGCACCACACTAAAATGAATTATTTGAAATTATTCAAAGTAACTTAAATATTAATATGAATAGCTAATATTATACCATGTGATTTAATTCTCCATTTCCATCATTGTGTATATTAATTTTAAGTGCCATTCCCAGATTACTTTGGAATTCTTTTGCAGCAATAGCACCAACACCATTGGCAGCATCTAATGACAATTCAGCAACATACTGCTGATTGTTAATCTCACTTTGTCTTATGCGTTTAAAGGCTTCTGTCAATTTTACATAGTAACCACTTATTGTAGGATCACCATAGCTACCATTAGTATTTATACATACAACAAGATAATGCAACTGAGGAGTTGTTACTATTCCAAAATTATTTACAGTTCCATTCAAGGCTTCAATGCCTGCAATAGCAGCCTGTAATAATGAAGAACCACTTTCCCTAGTATCTCTACCAGTTATTACAGTTGCATTTATAGACATATCAATATTCTGTTCTTGTAAAATTTTCTGTACTGTGGAAGATAGTTCTGAATCATCAACATTAGCCAAAGTGGTAGCTATTTGTTCCCAAGATGCTTCTAACATTTCACCAGCTGGATCTATAAGCTTTACACCATTATCGGATTCAATGTTGTGACTTGCAGTAATCATTAGACCAATTGCAGCTATAAAAACATTTTGTATTAGATATTAAAAAATATATACATCAACAATATTATATAATTTTACATTTTAATTTACCTTTTTTAACTTTAGACCTCAGCACTGCCAGAAGTCCCATTCTATACATAACATGTTCCAGAAGATTTGCCCTAAAGTAAAATTATAATGAAGCAATAAATGGTAATATAAATAATATTTAATTAATTTCATTTTAATAATATAGATAATTGTAATTATTCATGAAAGATAAAATTTAGTTGAATGTAGAAAAAATAAATACATGATTGAATAAATATAGTAAAGTTATTAATAAATAAATGATTGTTCGATACTAATATAATAATATTTTTAATGTTTGTTTTCTTAATAAAACGTGGGAATAAAACTTACTTTGTTCTAAAACCGGCAGTTCCATATTGTATAAAATTGCTGTGTTGCTTTGTATATTTTGTAGTAGCAATGTTATTTAATTGTGAAGATTCCATTGTTTATTATCTGTTTGTTAATGAAATGTAGAATTTTATTTCACGCTCAATAATACCTGTTACATTCACCATATGGAACTAATATCACAAAGTGAAAGTGAAATTGTATTTTTAGAAACACGTGCTACAATGAAATGTCATGTAATTTTTGAGAACACCGTCCTGTTGTCATTTCTTTTTTAATTTATTCATTGTAAACTGTCATAATTAAAGTTTATCGTTTACAAATAAAAGTCACGATAATATTACTTAACCTTACTTACAAAGTTCCTTGATAATTTCTTTATTGGTGAAAATATATTATTTCTTGTTACAAAATTGTTTATTATAACAGTTCATTAAACTATAATGTTTGTTGCAATGTGTATAACAATTTATATTATAAAATTGATCTTCAATATATCACACCATTAATACAATGTTACTTTTATCAGATTGCAATATTTACATAAAGTTTATCTTCTGACTTTATCAAATAAAAAACATTGAATTTTTAATTTGTTAAAGAAAATGAAGTACAGTGAGCATAACATTGTTCTAAGACTCATTCAAGGTATTCTTATTATTAAACAAACATATAATTATTTATTCATACAAATTTATTAAAAATAAAACAAGCCACATTAAAAAAAAAGAATAAAATCAACAATATATTCCAGAACAAAAATAAATAACATAAAACTTTAAAAACTTTGTGCTACTTATACATTTAGTACACAATATTCAATGCCTTGACATAATGACAAAAGTAAAAAAAAACTATATTCATATGACTGCAGCACTACCAATAAAACACAGATCTCAACTTTCATCGCTATCACATGCAATTTTTTCTAGTACCTCGTCTCGTTTTAATTTTATTTCTGAACTTTCATTATTTATTTCAGAAGAGTATTCCGAACAATTATTATTATCTTCTTTAAAACTTCCAATACTTATTTCACGTTTAATACTATTATTATTTAATTGTGTATCTGTATCAGTTTCAATTTTTGTTTCATCATATTTTATACATTTTCTTATTTCATAACCAATAGCTGCACTAAGGGGTGGTGGGACTGCATTTCCAACTTGACGATGTTTATCAAGTATACTGCCATAAAAACGAAAAGAATCAGGAAATCCTTGTGATCTAGCACATTCTCGTACACTAACCACTCGCGTTTCTACTGGATGTAATACGCGCCCCTAGGAGATTGAATAAACTTTTTATATTAACTTCAATTGTTAATTAAAATTATTTTCTTCGTACCTGTTTTCCCATCGGTTCTGGATTTGTAATAGTTGTACTAAAGAATCCATCCCATTCTAATCTTCCATACAAACCCGACCAATGATTATGACGATTTCCGGTGTGCGGTAAACACCATGGAATTAAAGTATTAAACTGTCTATCTGTAGGATCACACGGTTTCCCATTACAACAACTACACACTCCACGGTATGCTCCTGTAGAACTTTTCCCAGCCTTTTTATCATCATACGGATATTCCCTTGAATAAAAATCAGCTGTTGTTGTAACCCTAGTATAACTGAAGAGATTCATGTATAGGCATACATACAATTTTTTAGAGTAAGTGCCATCGCTTAATCGGATGGTAATATTTGGCAAATCGCGCCAATCTGAACCGCTAGCTATTGGGATATGGGCCATTCTACCTTCCACTAAAGGTGCCATTTCTTTACATATATGATCTCTCAACACAGGTTGATACTGTTTACCTCTCATCTGAAAATAAAACAATACATCAAAGAATTGCTTCTTCATATATTTATTGAATTTAATTACTTTTCTTTGGAAATGTGATAGTGGTTCACTATTGTATGGCATTTCTTCTTTGTTCCATCCGTTTTTAATTTCTGGCAAATCAAACATTGCATCTTTCACGGTAATCGTTCTATATGGGGCAGAATCTATCCAGCTACAATTTGAACTATACTGAAATATTATGGAATCGTTATAACAATTTATTTAAACGTCATAAATATATTTTATAAAATATGATAAAATCATTTACCTTCTTATTATCTACTAGTACACTTAACTGGCAGGCACGTTTACTGAATACATGCGTAGGTTCTGGATATTTTGGAAGAGTTTGCCCAGGTGCAGCAGCCAGAATTACCATTCTGTATGATACAGTAAAATAAAATGAAGTAAAACTATAATTCTAATAGGAATAAAAACGAACCTTCTTCTAGTTTGAGGTACACCATAGTTTCCAGCTTGAAGAATACCAAATGTACATTGGTAACCCATACGTACTAGACATCTCAATGTCAATTTCAAAACCATACTTTTTTTGAAAGATACAAAATTTCTGACATTTTCCATGATAAAAAACTTAGGCCTATAGTAATCACAATATGACAAATAAGAAACAACTAGCGAGTTTTTGAATAAAGAATACTGTCGTGAATTGAAGCGATTCATGCCACTGAAACCCTGACATGGTGGACCACCACATAACAATTCCACTTGACCTTTTTGAGGAAGCTTTTGACCAATTTCGTTAGTTGCATCGCCCTGAGAAATACACGAATTTAGTATATAATAACAAACATATTCTACTAATACTATGAATGAAGAAATTACACTAACATTCATAACTTTTTGCAGCAATATATTACAGTCTTCCGTAAATACTGTTGCGTTAGGATAATTTAAACGATATGCATACGCAGCTGGTTCTTCCTTTTCTATGGCCCAAAGATTTTCAGCTATGTCAGCTTGATGTAAACCTTCAGATAATCCTATGAAATGATGTTAATTTATAATCCCAACAAAAAAAGAATGCTCAACACATAATAAAAATTAAAATCATAGTTACATACCACCACAACCAGCAAACACATCTAATGTTTTTAATTTTCTGGATATAGGCTTATACTCAATTGGTTGATTAGCGAATATCTTTTTCTTATTTTCCTCGGTTTTTTTACCTTTGAGCTTTAAGTTACCCTTACTTTTACCGGATTTACCAATACTGATAGCATGATATGGTGGTTCATCAAATGATTTTTCTTGTACGTTATAAGCCTCATTAAAATAAAATCGATTTGGTCCAGAAGCAGTCCATTCTTCAATAGATTCATTTAAATTCTCAGAATAAGTAAGATAACATTTGCCAACGACTTCGGTGAATTTAATTGTACATACTAGAAAATTATATTTCATAACATATATGTACATATATTATTACAAATTTATATAAAAATCTATAATATACCTTCATCGCTCCAATACACCATATTTAAGTCTGCTTGTTCCATTAATGAAATATCTCTGTGTGTGTTTTCTGGTCTATATAACTTGTTTACTTTAATATTAATATCCATAGGTGAGACTATCATATCATTTGTATTAGCATATATTGCATTTATATACCCTAAACAGAAGGGTTTAGGAGTGTCTAAATTTGAACCTTTTACATGATCAGAAGACTTCCTATAAAATTCTGGATACATGTCTTCATCAACATTTTTCTTTTTTGCCTTTGATGTGTCTTGATACGCAATTTTATACTTAAATTTATAAGCTTCCGGTTGTAAAAATACAGCTGTACCCACTCTGTATTCTTCTCCTTTATACTTTACTACCCCATAAATAACTTCTTTGCTACTTTTTTCTTCTATTAATTCGTACACCTTAAAATATAGAGATTGTTAATCATTATTAATTTAGAATTATTATTTTAAAATTTACCTTTGGCATATTAAACTGCTGCAATGCTCTCAAACGAGTACAAGCGGGACAAAAGCGGTGAATATACTCTTTGCGAAGACATTCTGGATCCGGTGAAGGATCTTCAAATCTGGCTGTTTCAGGTGTATAACGTTTTTGATAAAAAAATGTTTTACCGTCTACATCTTTTATTTCATCTTCAAGACTTAAGTTTGTATTACCTGTAACATATTAACTATAAGTTATAACAAATTATTTTTTCACATGTTTATACGTTTATTAATAAATTGTTACCTATCTCATCCCAATTTTCTGGCGCCTTTTTAAAATGGACAGTACATTTTGACTTAACAGATTTAAAAGGGACATCATCACAATCATCACTCAAAAATAATTCTATAGGGTCTGATGTTTCCCCAAGGATAGTATCAGTTCCTCTGTGAAACCAATTTGCATGAAATTGTTTCAGACCATTTTTGGTCTCCCACATGTATATAATTTTAGCAACATGCAATGGTATTGCTGGATTCCTTGGTTCTACGAGGACACAATCATTTATTTCTATTCTCTCATCGCCCACCATAACAGATTTATAGAACGTTTTTTGATTATCGGCAGCAATTTTATCTTCCACCCATGTAACGTCTTTCTTAAACTCTTTAAAATCTTTTTTCGTATGTTCTAGTTCTTCAATTTTCTTGTTTTCCATTAAAGCTTCATATTCATCGTCATTTTCTAGATCAGAATCATCTGCTTCTTGAATAGCCATGTTTGGACACTTTCTTTTAATGCAAGCTTGCTTGCCTCTTCCTGTTCCTCCAAACTTGATCATATCTTTACAGTGACTACAAAGTCCGCAATCCGGTTGCTGACAATTTTCACATATCCCACATCTTTGTCTTTTGGGTCCCATTGATACTTTATCATCATGTTTACTCAACTGATCAGCAAAAATATTTTCGAACATATTGCTAACTAATTGGGTTGTTGTTGCTTTTGTCCACATGGGTTTCTTAATTTTCTGATCACGTCGCTGTGTTCGCCGAAGAGCTGCTTTTTTTCCTAATGTAACACCTGCGAGATTTGCTAATGCACGCATACAAGGAGTTGTAATAAGGAGAGTTTCATTGGAACTGGCAGAATTATCAAATGATAATACTTGATCGCATATAAACTGTGCATGTCGCAACAAAGAATCCTCCGTGAATTTTGTCAAGCCTTTAGGTGGTACAATAGTCTGCAAAAATTCATATTATTATAAAATGAAACATTATGACCATAAAAACTTTAAGTAGAGCTCTTAAATTACTTGAAGTCTATTCAGTAAATCTTCATAGCTGGGACTAATTTCATCTAATAGAAATTCAATAACTAATTTACTCATGTAAATTTTTTCTTTAACCACATCCATGAAAGGAGCATATGCTTCAGATGGCTCCATTAAAATGTATTCACCAAATGCGGTATTAAAACCTATAAGAGCTAGTTCTCCTCCATCGAAACCAGACACATACCACTCATTTATTGGACCCATATCTTTGGTTGGTACTCCACCCTCAGGGGATGAATCTTCCTCATAAATGGCTTTCATATATCCAGAAAAATATAACAGTACATTTTTTTCTATGAGTCCAGTATCAAAAGGACATAAGTGACCATTTTTATCATAGACACTAAAATTTGAACAGCATGAATATATGTATATATATGAATTTTTTTGGCAAATTAAATGAAGCAATAATTTTACCTAAAATAAGTTAACTTATTTTGAGGATGTTCATCACTTTCATGTATAAAAGATTCATTTCCATTAAATAAACATAACTTTGGATCAATCAAAGCAATTTCTTCATCTACAGCACCATTTGGATGTCCAGGATAAAACCTTATTTCATCATTTAATTTTTGACGGCAATATTCACATTTGCCAGGGAAAATATTTGGTCTTCTAATTTGAGATTTTGAGACTATTATATTGTCTTCAGTTTTTATTTTCTTTTCATGATGTTCATTTGGAAATTGCTGGTTTATCTGTGGATTGTTATTTTCTTTAGTTTGTTCAGATGTAATTAGTAAATCATCTTTATTCATATCTTCATTATCTGAATCAGCATTGGCTCGTTTTCTCTTAGCAATTTGTTTAGAGAACATGTCAATTATAGATAATCCATGTTTACTAGGTTTAGATGTGCTAGGTTTCATTGTGATATTAAAATATAATACTTTTAGTTATTAGAAATTCTGTTGCCATTTAATGTTTCTGCATACAATGCTATAAAAGATGTGTATAATTCTGTATTATAACATCACTTTTAATAAATGTCATATAACTGAAAAAAAGCAAATTGATATAATTAATTGTTTTCTAACATTTGTTGCATGTTACATATATGTCTCAATTAATAAGAAGAACATTTTAAATAATGTGCAAATATATATTACATTTTCACTTACCTAATTATAAATTTATAAATAATTGTTAAAACTTAATAATTTGTTAAAAATCTCATGTGCTGTAAACCTACGCACGTTTCATAAATATCATGTTCAATCTTAAGTGTAAGGATATTAACAGTGATTTTTACAATGACACAATAAGTATTTAAAATCTATTATTTGTGGTAATAATTTAGATTATTTAACACAACGTAATCCAATTTTTGAACGCCACAAATTTGATATAAACAGCAATTATTCTGTTCGAGAAACGTTTTACGATTCTCTCATGTTTTCCCGCCTTCGAACACTATTGCCAAATTTAATTGTATTTCATTTTTACTCTAATATAATTTACTTTTAAACAGTATTAAATGAAACAATAATCGGTAATAAATATCTTTATTGATTAATACATTGGAAGGTATTAAATATACAGATACAAAAAATGTAAATACAAAAGAGTAATTAAAATATAAGTATTGTAGGTTAGGACAATTCATCAATAATAAACAAACATGTTTATATATATATATGTACTATAAAGATATTCACTTGTTTAAATAAAGTTATTTAAAATTTGATTGGTATCATTGTTTTTGATAATAAAAAGATAGATATAGCAATAAACTGATTTCTGATATCAAGAACAAAATCAATTCTGTAATGCATACTTTGCAGTGTATAAGTGTATAAGTCATTTTGCAATTTGGTATATATTTATAGAAAACTAAAAGAAGATGAAACTTACATGTACCATAGAAGTTAATAACAGATTGTCTTCAACAAATATAATAAGAAGAAAACCTCAGCGTTCCATTTTAGTAATTGGAAGACACTCAGTAAAAAGTAAAGAGTTACATCTTCTCTGGCAAACATTACAAAATAAACAGGGTACTAAGTATAAGGTATAATCAATCAAACTCTTTTTATAATTAACATTGTTTTATTATTTTCTTATAAATTTTTATTGTTTCAGATTGATGGTAACATAGACAAAGTATTTACAAAATTTATCAATGAAGGAAAAGCTACAATTCGTATAATAGAACCTCCTCATGATTTAATTATTCAGTCTGATACAATTCAATTGAAAAGTTTTATTCATATTTTAAAACTTGTAATATCTAAGAAAGCAGATCCTTCAGTTCTTACCATTTCAAATTTAAATCCAAAAAATGTAACTTCCATTCCAAAAGTTAAAGTTGTAGTTAATAAAGTATCAGACTATCCCACTTTGGAAGGATTCCCAAGAACAACTAAAGAATTGTACTTAACTGGATTAAATAGGAAATCATTTGACAGACAAATTTTAAAGTTGCAAAGTCTAAGAATTTTAGATTTATCTAATAATCAAATTTCATCTATACCAGCAGAATTAGGTGCATTAGAACACTTACAAGAAGTTATTCTGTCACAAAATCGTCTTGACAAAGCTTTGAAATGGGCATGGTTGGATCAGACTGCTATTAAATCCAACTTAAAATTATTAGACATAAGTGATAATTCGGTATGTTTATTTTATATTTCATACAAAATATTGTTAATACATGAATTCGATTTTTTATAACAGCACATCCTTATTTTTTTATACAGTTAATAAAATTACCAGAACAAATTGGAAAACTTTATGGTCTGGTTAATTTAAAGGCTAGTAAAAACATGTTAGTATATTTACCACAAAGTATTGGCAGATTATCTAGTTTAAAATATTTAGATGTATCAAAGAATAATTTAAAGCATTTGCCTGGAAGTATGAGAAATCTACGACTGATATTATTAGATGTTTCCGAAAATAAATTCCAAAAAACAGATTTATATTTCACATGTAAAATGAATGTACCAAGTTTACTTGAATGTGGTGCTAGAGCAGTTCTCAAAACAAGGTTTGTATTACATATAATTTGCATGTCTATTTCATTCTGTATTTTTAAGGTTTTCATACATTCAATTAAACTTATTATTGGCATTATTGTATCTTTATAGATGTCCATATGATGCAAGTATAATTCCATTCACGTTGGTGAGGTATTTGAATGAGGCAAACTATTGTGTCTGTGGTAATGCTTGCTTCCAATATTACATACGAAAATTTGTAGAATATAATTTAAGTACTATAGCTAGCAGTGTAAAATCGTCAGAAAGTAGTATAGTACAATTCGATTGTTATTTTTGTACAACAAGATGTGAAAGTAACTATGCAAAAGTACACTATTAGAATATTTTTTAATAATTTCTATATTTTTTTACAAATGTCTTATAAATATATATATAGTAATTTATTTATAGCACAATACTTTTATATCTCAGTTTGTATAATCAATATTTTTCACATTTAAATATAAATATAACTTGTACAATCTTATTTGTCATTTTTATTACTTGCTAATTCTAACAGGTCGATAAAATTTTATAAAATAGAAAAATACGCAAGTTGCAGGTTTATTAATTATTTAATTGATTATAAGAGAGTTTTTGTACATTTTAAAGTTAATTTACATTTAAGATATAAAAATTATTTTTCTTCAATTTTCCATGTATGACAAATTATTCAATGACTTTCTTTCCAATTAAAATATAAAAAATCACTATGAAGTGATATGTGGTAATATCTTCCTTATTCAATAATTTTGTACATAACAAGAATAATTAATATCTAAAAATTCTCATCACAGCACTGTCATAGTTTAACAGTAAAAATCTTAAAAATACCTATAATTATTTGATTGATCTTAAGTCTTGTATAATCTTTGCATATTTGATTAAAATGTATGTACTAAAATACAATAATATATTAAAATTCATAACATTTTTAAATTCGGAGTTATTACTTTCAGGTACCCAATTGAGTGCAAGATTTACATTTTAGATTAAAGGTTTAAAAAATATCAAATTTCTACTTAATTTTTTTGGAATTAACACTTTAACACATCTTTATTTTAATTTGAAAAACTTGTTACCTGTTATTATTTAAACTGTGAAACTCAAAGCTTTATTTAGTACAATATTTTTTATGATATTTTCAAAAAAATGTATCTGTACATACATAATTACCATAAAATGAATAATCCGACTCTAAAAGTAAAAAAAATCATTGTAACATATTTGTTAGTGTTATTTCTTTTGTTTTATATCTGCTTTAACAAAATCAAAATCGGAATCGTCCATGCTAAGAAAAAATTGCCGCGGTGTAACTACCTTTTTTTTACCTATATGTGGAACAGTAAAGTCAATATTTTTATATTTACTTGCGTCTATTCCTCCTTCTGCTTGTATAGGTTGAATAAATACTTCCGGATCTTCATTATGTGGAACTAATCTCATACAATTGTTTTCTTCTAAATTACTCGGTGAATAAGCGTTTGTGCTCTATTGTATATAATACAAATATTTATAAAATTATTTGGAAAATATTATTTTTTTATACGATTTATAAAATTAAAAATGTTGATACAAACCTGTACATGTTTATTATTTTCATATCTTACATCTGTAGAATTATCTGGTACTTCTAAATCTTTCACTGAAATTAATTGACGTTTTATAAGTCCTCTTATTGCTGCATTTTTATTAAGTCTACATTGTTTTAAAATATTCTCCTCATCTTTAATCTTGTGCTTTTCATCAGTCTTAATCTCTGATAGAGACGAGTCAATATCAGTTCCCACAACTGAATTTTTATAATCACAGTGGTTATTAACTAATGACAATTTTTTATCTAGAACCTGCGATTTTAAACTAGCTTCTAATTGCCTAATTTTCCATTGCTCTTCAAGCGTTTCATTTGAATAATCAATACCTCCAGTTGCCTGTAAAATAAAAGTTATTCTTCAATAAATACTATCCACTTTCATGTTTCAGTTTACAAATCATACTTACTTCTTTAATAGAAGATGCAATTTCATGTGTTGGTAGAAAGCATGGTTCCTGAGACAAATTAGTAAAGCTCTGACTAAGATTATCATTATCAAATAGCTGCAAAATACAATATATAATTATTAATAATAATCTATGTACTCATTAAATTGAAGATTATTACGAGTAATTAAACTCCAAACATATATATTATGAATATATTTAATTCAACTGTTAAATATGATAAATACTAACGCCTTCATTTTTTGGAGATTTAAATTTCCTCATTTTTCGATTTCGTTTAATTGAATCATGCTCTTGTTGAAGTATAAACAATGAGTTTTCATCACAGTAAGGTATTTGTGTTATTTTCTGAATGTCATTATTTAAGCTCATTGTAAATGTATCTAAAAAAGAAACAAATATACATATGTAAATATTTTACAAAATTTCAGTCAATGTGATTTACTACTGATAAATATGTACAAATAATTGCTTATAAATTAAAAGTATTTGATTTTTATTTATACAATATTTTATACAATAAAACTGTAAAGTAAAAACTTTTGTTTCAAATTTGAAAACTGTACGAAATAACCTCACTTTTCTCATGCTCTCGTAATATCTTTTCATTATAATACGTTTATTGTATTCTTTATTGAAAAGTGATTTCTTATTTCAATTCTGATGTTACAAAACTATATTGTTACTATTATTTTAATTTACCATTATTTGTACAAACAATATACAGGATTCATATAAATCGATATAAAAATAAATTATGTTCGTATAACAATATAATGACTTAAAATAACGATGTAACTATTTAAAAAATCATTTAATATAATTTTTAGTACTTCAGGGTTCTCACACTAAATATATGTAAATATACTGTAAATAGAATATTAATAATATTTCAACATTGGCAATACACAGTAACTCTAAATTGTCAATAAGGGTTGAAAGTTCTCAAATATTAACAGATATATATTGTATCGATCATATGTACTTTTTATTAAACCATAGTTTTGCAAATCTCATCCGAAATTTAAGTGCACCCTTCACCCCACATTATTTTTTATGAAATCTCAAGAAATTGTGCGATATATAACCTCAAACAGCAATTAGAGAATTATTACTTAGAAAAAGAGTCAATAATCTGTCTATAAATTACAGTAAAATATTTAAATGTAAGGCATCCTAGTTGCCTCCGTGATATCAAAAAGTCGAATGATAAAAATATATTAAGGTGGCGAATTAAAACATTGCTGCTTATCTTGTAATTACATAATGTAGTATATATCTTTATTATTTAATCGCAAGCGGTACAGTTAAATGTTACCATTTGAAAATGTAAATGCATCGAGCATTCGAGCATCATAACATGAATAAGCAAGATTGTTCTTGTATTCTTGTGATCAGATTCATTAGCAAATTTGTGCATCACAAATTATACCCCTTCTACTTACTAACCTCAGTTTCTCTGGTTGAATCATACAATGACGCTGTTTGAAGCAATGTTTGTTAGTGAACTGTCAACAGAACATATCTTTTCAGTGGTATTATTTACACAAATATATCTCTTTAATTCTCAAAATTAGTCTTCAGACATTCTACAGATGCGCAGTCAGTTTATAACGCTTCGCAAGTGATCATTTTTTAAATTATTCGCTGTTTGAAGAATATATTTCACACGTGGACAATGCAGGTTAGAATTTAATAATAAATAATAATTAACTTAAATTAACATTCACTTTCTTATTAAATAATCATGGTACGTGGATTTGCTAATATATTTTCATTTGCTACATGACTTGAGAAATTTTCCAACGTTTAAAAGTTCGTAGCAGTTGCAATATTTTGAGAAGACAAGCATATTTAAAATATGTTTAAACTTTTATTACTTTTTGTTCATACAAATTGTAATTCGAAAATTTAAAAAATTCTTACGTCATTATTGTGCTTTGATGTCGAAATAGTTTATCGATCGAAATATAAATATGTACAATTTACTATGTTATCGTTGAAAGTAGTAGTTTCCAAAGACGCTTATTAATTAGATTTTCGTAGTTGTATTTTCATAAAAAATACCTGTTGGTATTTATAATTTATTTTATAATTTGCATGCGTACAAATAGTTGTATTAGCAGTAATGTAGATTTAAATTATAAATTGCATGTAGATTTAAATTATAAATTATTAAAGCGCAAGGGTTTTATGCAACCTAGACATTTTCTTATCTTCGTAATTTATGATTCTGTTTTCGAAATACAACTAAAAATCGAGCGATCGATAAAGGGCGCGTTATTTGAACCTTAAATTAACATCATTTAATTTTTTTCATAAATTTTTAGTAATTAAAACAAATTTAATATTTCGCAGTAGTGATTTATGTTAAAAAATATAACTATTATCTGATATCGATGAGGTTATCTAATTTTATAAGTGTTTATGTTTAACGTGCAATTCAAGGCTGAATAGTACAAGGATCATTTTGCTTTATTCTGTAAATAGAAGCAATATGATCAAATTTGTTATAAACGATATTAATTACTTCAATAAAAACGTAATTTGAATAATTTGATCATTTTTAATAACTACTCTTAACGTATTCTTAATGAATCACATTAAACATTAAATCCGTAAGAAAAAAAACCAAGCTTTTTTTCCTTGTACGGTTATATAAGACTTTCAAATGAGAATCCATTGGTTTTCCGTTGTATAAACTGAAGAGTGACGATAAAGATAAATAACGTAAACCAGAGGTAATAGTAACTAGTGACTTTATTTTATAAGGCATGAACGACCGCCATTTTCACCTTCTTTCAACCTTTTCAATAATATTGACTTTCTTCTTAAATTTAACTGTCATCGGACGTGCGTTGTCATTATCTTCTTTGCATTACTCTTTTCGAAATTTTTTCAATTTAATTAAAATTGATAACAAATATTTATATCAAAAGTTTTTCAAAAAATTCTAAGAAACTTACGATTATTTAAATACAACCAATTCTTATAAAAATAAAGAAATAATCTGCGTTAAATCCGATAAAAGTTTTCTTAATCGAGAGTCTCGTTTCCTCCACATCAGTAGAACAATTATGATTCGCAGTAATATTAAATCCCAGATAAAAATCTCAAAGAATATTCTTGCAAAATATTTTGAAACATAATCTTTCCATCTCAGTGATTGTCTGCAGCGGTTTTGAAATAAAGGAATACCCAAATCATTTTTTATTGCAAATAAATATTTTTTCTATAATGATGCTAAAAATAAAGTATCAAATTTCAACTACCTCCTCATTAGAATTTTAAATCACATTTGCATGGGTTTGAAACACCCCAAGGCTTCGCAAACTTTTATGGCTTGATATCCATTATAAAAAATGTTAATTTTTTGCAACCCCATTTTTTTAGTTTGTTATTAATGCTAATTCGCTGTTCTAAAATTCAAAAATCCTATAATCTCATGACTCAAAAATGAAGTTGCAGAATTTTAAAAACTGCAAGTATTAAAGTTTTAAAAATTAATATATTTTAAAATATCAGGGATGAGTCAAATACCAAAGTGAACACATTTCAAGAGTGCAAAGTGTGCAAGCTCTAAACTTAAAAATTTGTAAAATTTAGCACTTTCAAATTTCCATATTCTAAGAGCTTGCAAAGTCCAAAATTTGAGAGCTTGTAAAGTCCAAAATCTGGAAGCTTTTAAAGTTAAAGATTTGAGAACTTGTGAAGCTCAAAATCTGAAAGGTTGTAAAATCCAAAATATGGAAGCTTATAAAGTCAAAAATTTAAAAGCTTACAAAGTCCAAAATTTGAAAACTTGTAAAATATAAATTTCAAAGCTTGTAAAGTCCAAAGTCTGGAAGCTTGTAAAGTCCAAAATTTAAAAGCTTGCAAAGTCCAAAATTTAAAGCTGGTAAAATGTAGATTTGAAAGCTTGTAAAGTCCAAAGTCTGGAAGCTTTTGAAGTCCAAAATATGGAAGCTTTTAAGTCCAAAATTTGAAAGCTTTTAAGGTCAAAAATTTAAAAGCTTGTAAAGTCCAAAATTTAAAAGCTTGTAAGGTCAAAAATTTGAAAGCTTTTAAGGTCCAAAATTGAAGAGTTTGCAAAGTCCAAAATTTGAAAGCTTGTAAAGTCCAAAATTTAAGAGTTTGCAAAGTCCAAAATTTGAAAGCTTTCAAAGTCCAAACTGTAAAAGCTTCCAAACTCCAAAATCCAAAAGTTTGCATACACCAAAATCTAAGAGCTTTCAAACTCCAAAATCTAAGAGCTTTCAAAGTCCAAAAGTCTAAAAGCTTCCAAACTCCAAAAGTCTAAAAGCTTCCAAACTCCAAAATCCAAAATCTTCCAAAATCACAAAGCTCCAAAATAAAAAAATCTTTCAAACTCGCCAAAAGTCTTCAAAACGTTCGAAAATCCGAAACTAAATATTTATCGACTCCATTCATCCGCGCTCCACCAGTAGGTCTGGACCCACACTTCGTGAAGCTCAGTCCCGGCGTCGAGGCATAATTTCAAGTAAAACTGTAAAAGGTCGTTTACTTTTGGACCTCTTACCGCTCTCGGTGGTGGTGATATCGAAACATTTGTAGTGCGTAAACCACACACCACACGTGTCGAATCCTTTCATTGCCGTGTGTGTGTGGAGGGGGCAAGAGGGTGGGTGGAACATTTAATTCGAGCTTACGAGGGAAGTCGTTGATTGAAGACGAGGTACTCGTCAGTTCTGTTTCAACGCTCTTTCGTGTTGGATTGTTTTCTGTTTTGTTTACATAAATATCGAAAAAACGTGTCTGTTATTTAGATAACGAGATAAAGTTGCTTCGATTTGAACCCGAGGGGAATGACTGTTAAACTTTGAGTGCGTTCGAAGAGTTGATTCGAAGTTCCTTCAATTGAAGGATGAGTTGGTCTCGTCTGCTTGTTCCTCGAGCTGCAAGGTCAATCTTTCGCTACGTAATTCGCGATATTGTTATTTGAATAAAATGTGCTTCGTTTGTGTAAAGTTTGATTGGCATCGGTCTTCAAATATCGTAGTTAGCGACAAACGGTTCTCTTGTAAGTTTGCAAATTATTAAATTATTTTGTTAATTCTTCTGATGCAATGATTTTAAGAGTCTGTTAAAGTCTTTTCATGTGGAAGGAGTTTTTGAGATATTTATTATACTACTCTGTCAGATATTACCATTTACACGGTACTTGTATATTGTAATTATTATTGTATATTACTGTATTAGTAATTACTGAATTATTATGCAATATTATTATACTACATTGTTATACATTACTGAGATATTATTACTACCATATTATGTTAAAAATAATTAATATAACACTACTGTATTACACTACTATGCAACATAATACTATTATACTATACTATACATGTTATACTACTAT